AATACTTTGCATGGCTTTGACCACCACCTCTAAAAATTATGTCAAGAATGTCCCTGATTGTTTCCAATCTACAGACAGTAGCCTTCGCCTTCATCCCAGGTCCAGTTTCAGCAGAATTTCCTAAGTGTGCAGGAAAAATACAGACACTCAACTGCTTTGCATGAACCGGCAAACAATTATCAATAGTTATCAGAAATTCAATATGTTCAACTAAGGTAACACTTAGAGCTAGAAAAATAATGAAAGCTTAAAGTAACTATTCAGATCGAGAAAATGGAATAGTACATTTCAGTGGAAAGAAGAAACCTGGAAAAATTGATTACCTTCCTCAAGTAATAGAGAAGCACCATCAATTGTGTCAATTAGCTTTTTGGATGTTTCAGAAGTAATATTCAGTTCAGAGAGGAACTCATATATGTAATTGCCAGGTTTTGTATGGCCCAGCTCCTTGGAATCAATCACCACCTCACTAATTTTCTTTTCAAGTGCCATTAAAAGGGCTGGGGAAAAAGTTCGATTATTAGTCTATTACAGTACGAAATCTCACAGTCCGAATCATTAACATAGGTAAACACTTTCTAACTAAGAATATGGATACAGGTATGATTTGCTGCTGTAAGAAGAAATATGGTTCACCTTTGAGAATAGCATAATTTTCAGGGTCAAATTGTTTATCAGCAGAATTTTCAAAGGTCCTCTTTGCTGAACACAATTGGATGCATTCCTGAGCTTCCGCAATGCAAGAAGAGAGGTTATTGGGAAGCAAGTCAAAAGATGCAGCATCTGCACATATACTCTCCTGCATAAAAGGGTAATGGTAAATTCAAAACAAACAGAACTATAACCAGACATATATTGAATGAAACTTATGTATATAATATTGAGATTGGTTCATTTAACTCAAGTCTTAAGCATAAAGAGAGTTTTAACACTAAAGCAAACAGATATTCAGATAGTTGTAGATTGAACAAAGGACTGGAGCATGTATTTCCATACCAAGTTGTGTGCTTCATCAAATATAAGTACTGCATTATCCCATGGTATTCCATTTAAAGAACGTCGATTTCCTGGATCAATAAGATAGTTGTATGGAGCAAAAAGAATATCAACCGACTTGGAAAGTTCCCGGGAGATGTAATATGGACACCTAAAATGGAAAATAAAACAATTGTAGTCAGCAAAATCTGTAGGCGTTCTGTTGTGTGCATGTGGTGTGCAAGTTAGGGCAGATGAAATATGAAACTTACGGGCCCTTAGTTCTCCCAATATTAACCAAGTCTTCAATGTCGCAAGCCTCACTCCCAAGCTCACTGTTGTTCCTCATGAATTCTACAGGATAAGCAACATATGGTTAATCTGTAAAAGAATTGTTTAAAAGAAACTACAACAAAATACCTAACATGGACAGGCCAGCATGGGAACATAGGGAGATACTTCCTTTGACAACAAAAATAAGTTGTTTTGAATTTTCAAAGTCAACAAGGTGTCCCTTTTATGAAGGAAAAGCAAGATGTCCCTTTAACCACTAAAGTTGACCATTGTCTATTCGAAAACTTTGTAAAATATCACGGTAGTTCTTCCACATCAAATTTACTCATACCATTTTCCAATATCAGAACTACATTTTATACATTTAGACAGCAGTTCTCGCCAAAATAAATATAGTTTGACTGTGCATTCAAGGGTGATATGTTTTTTTGTCATCACGGGTAGTACTACAGAAGCATCAGCGCGGCAGTAACATCTGACTTGAAGGATAACTTATATGACTCAAGCATTCAAGTTGTTGATTGTGGCATTGACAATAAACTTCTTGTACGAATCAAATGGGCCTATGATACAGAAATGCCTAATGTGTGTGGGTGTGCATGGATTTACCATGGCTTTAACTTTATGTGCAGAGATAAATTTTATGGTTATATGTAACAAGGATCCTATTGCAATTACCAGCGACAGAGTTGTGATGGCGGCACCACCGTTTCTTGCAGAGGTAGTGGCAGGCGTTGTTTTGTTGCCTTCCCCGGAGTTTGCTCACTTCCTCGTGGATGCACATCTGCTCGCGGGAGCCCAGTACTGCCATTTTTGGCCTACAAAACTGAACGAGTTAATAGTGCGAGGGCACTAACTCCATTACTCCAGACCTCCAAGACAAAGACATTCAAATGGAATTACAGAACAGCATACATCCGGCGCAGTTAGCTTAGATAAAAACAACTGACAGATAAGCGTAATTTGCTCGCCATCGGGCTTCACCTGTAACTGGTGGCCTTGAGCTCCTTGATGACCTGCCGGAGCTGGCTGTGAGTCCGTGAGGCGTAGATGATCACGGGGTACCGAGACGACTGCGACGCCGAACCCCCCGAGTGCTGGCTCCCAGAAGGCTGGCTCCCATACGGCGGCTGCTGGCTCCCGCCCCCGCCCCCGCCCCCGCCCCCGCCCCCGCCGCCTCCGCCTCCACGCAGAAACTCCCCAAAGGTGCGGCGCCACGCGAGCGCCGAGCAGAGGAGGCACAGCGTCTTCCCCGTCCCCGTGGGGCTCTCCAGCAGCGCGTTTTTCCCCTGTCGGATCGATCCGGCGAGCTCGCCCCCATCACTCAAATCGAATGGAATCGAAGGGTTTCCGATTCCGCGCCGACGGGGGGGAATCGGAGGGGATTGGGGGGTTACCTGCTGGAGGGATTCGAGGACGCGGTCCATGTATGTGATCTGGCAGTCGTAGGCGTCGTAGGGGAAGTCGACGTCGACGCCGCGGATCCTGTACACCGGCATTGCGGCGGCGGCGGCCGCCGGAGGCGGAGGGGGAGGGGACGGAGTGGGCGGGAAATCGGGGATTTTGGGGGGGGGGGGGGGGGGGGGAAGCTTGCGAGGGAAGAAGAGGAGGCGGCGCCCTGAAAAGAAAACGGAAAAGAGAGAGAAGGGGTTTTGGAGTGGGAGAGGGGGGAGAGTGAGGCGTGTGAACGGCAACAGCGTTGGGCAGTTGGGCTGAATGGCGGTTTGGGCCGCCAGGGATGCTTTTCAGCTGGATGAGTGGAACAGGCCCGTATAAGGCTAAGGAGCAGCTATATTTATGGGAATAAGTTCACTTTAGGTCTCTCTACTTGTTGGTCAGTCCAATTTTCGTCCCTTAACCACAAAACTTGGTACGACCCATCCCCCAACTTACGAAAACCGGACATATGAGGTCCCTCGACAGTATGGAGGACGTTTTTGGCTGACGTGACGTCTAAGTGGCTTCTTTGACTAGGTCTCTGTCTCACGCACTGACATGGCGCTTACATGGCAATTTAACCCATTGGGCCCACATGTCAGTTACACGCAATAATAATAAACGGCGGGCCCGTATGGCCCCACATGTCATTTTCAATATCATCTCTATCCTTTATCTCTCACCCCTTCGTTGGAGCAGTTGGAGCAAAGGTAGGCGGCCGCCGAAGCAACCCGCGAAGCTAAATGAGGTGGGCAGTGGCGACTGTTCCCTACTCCTCTCTCACTTCCCCTTTTTGGCATGTGGGCGGCGGAGGGTGCGACTGCAGAGCAGCGGGGCGGGGCAAAGCGGATGACCGGCGGAGCGGGGCATGCGGCGGAAGGAACGGCGGGGACCAGAGCATGCTGGCGGTGCGGAGCGGAATGGGTGGTGAGCGCTCCCTACTCCTCTCTCCCTTCCCCTTTTCGGCATGTGGGCAATGGAGGGCGCGGCACAAAGCACGCGGGGCGAACCGGCCGGCCGGCGGAGCGGGGTGTGTGGCGGAAGGAGCGGCGGGGACTGGAGCATGCTAGCAGTGCAGAGCGGAACGAGCGGCGGGTACTCCCTACTCCTCTCTCCCTTCCCCTTTTCGGCACGCGGCTGGCGGAGAGCGGAGCGGCCGACCGATAGAGTGGGGCGTGCGGCGGGCGGAGCGGCAATGGCCATCGGATGACTGTGACAGGCGGGGAAAAGGGCGGCGCGCGGCGGCCACAGCCGTATGAGGAATCAGCTTGGCGGCGGCGGCGTGAACCCGTTGCGCGCGCGAAAGGCGACCACGGCCGTGATCGTGCCGTGGCTGTTCGCTGCCCTCCGCTCCTCTCAACTTGACACCTGTGATGGCTGCCACTGCTTTTCCTCGTTGTCGCTCGATCCACCGCCACCAGAGAAGGGAGGGAAAGACAGGGGGAGGGAGAGGCCGCCGCTGGAGATGGGGGAAGCCGACGAGGCGAGAGGAGAAGGGCAGCCTCGACAGAGGAGGGGTGGATCTGTCGGCCCATCCCTTGCTCCCATGCTGCCGCCACTGCTTCATGGGAGGAGAGGAAGAGTGGATCTGGCCACCCCGCCGCCATCGCCTGCCGTTTTATTTGCGATGGGGAAAGGAGGAAAGGAGAGAAAAAGAGAAAGAGAGATAAAAAGTCAAAAAGATTATACTAATATGACCCACTATAGATAACTTGCACGGTAAAGTATGTGGCTAATGAGGTTCTTCATTTAGTTGGTACGCGAAGTTCGCTAAAATCGCAAGGCGCGCTGCCCTTAGAGCATCCACAATGGTAAAGTAAGGTGCTCTCTATAAAACATGTACATCTCAGCAATAGATTAGATTAATAGTAAACCACCTCAATAGCATGTCTACATGGGTATCTCTAGCTATCTAATCTATTGCCTCGTTTTTCTCTAGAGACTATCTCCAGGTTAGTAGATAGCTTTGTTCTCTCTCTTCATTTAATCTCTTTTAAGTAGAAAAATATATTGACATTGATATCTTATAAAGAGCCTATAGATAACCATTGCGGGTGCCCTTAGATCATCAGGTGTCACGGCCAAATCACAGAGCTCTGTCCTTATATAGATCACACGTGCTGTTCTCAGAACGATCACAAATTAACGGCCCGGATTGGCCCAACTGGCGTCTAGCATAAGATCCAACGACAGAGATCCGTCGATCACGTTTCCCTGAAAAAAAAAAAACGATGACACGAAACGCCCCCACCACGGCCGCATCTCTCCACTCTCCAGACTGGCCTTCTCGCGAACTCGCCTTCTTCTTCCTCCCCCAAGGCCCCAAGCCGCGCGACCCAGAGCAAAAGCCAAAAGCCCGAGCTCCACACCCCCCACCGCCCATCCGCCGCGAAGGCGCGAAGCCCCGTCACCGCGCGCGCGCGCGCGCACAGCCATGTTCGCCGCCGCCTCGTGATCCCGAAGGCTCCCCGCATCCACCCACCCACTCACCCCTCCCTCGGGGGGGAGGGATTCTTCGGCCATGGCGGCATCGGAGCGGGAGGCCGCGCTCCTGGCCCGTGTGGCCGCGAACCACCTCTACCTCGGGCAGTTCGAGGCCCTGCGAGCGGCGCTCCTCAGCCTACGCCGCCGCGCCGACCCGGGCCTCGCCGCGGGATTCCTCCGCGCCGTCGTCGCCGCGGGCGGCCGCGTCCCCGGGGTGCTCTGGTCCGCCCCACCCGCGTGCCCTTCCCCGTCCCACCTCGCCTGGCTCACCGCGCTCGAGCTCGCCGCCCTCCCGTCCACCCCCAACCCCGAGGCGCTCCGCCTCAAGGCCGAATTCCTCGTCCTCCTCCAGCACGTCGCGGACGACCCCGCTGCCACCGGCGCCGAGGCGCGGGGGACCCTCTCTAGGCTGCTGGATTTGGGGGTGGCGAGGCTCAAGCGCGAGGTGGAGGGTGGAGGGGAGGCGGGCGTCGGTGCTGAGGAGGTCGCGGTCTCCCAGGAAGATCTGACGGGGCTCTGGGGGGTGTTCCTAGACAAGGCCGAGCTGTTTGACGCGCTGTGTTCTGGCGTCTCGAGGCAGGTCGCATTGGACAGTGGTTTAGGCACGGATGTGCTCCTGTGGCTGCGGCGGAGCGTGCAGCTTGCACACCTGGACGCAATGAAATCACTTGTAGCGGCAGGAGATCTCGAGGGTGCCACTGGGCATCTTCGATTCCTTTGCCTCGATCATGGAGTGGAGGAGGATGAGTATAAGTAAGCTCTATTGCATATAGTTGGAACCTAAATATAAATCAAGTTGATATTTATTGTGGAACATCTCATCATCTGATAGGAGCGAAAAATTAGCTTCGAGGTGCAAATTGTGAATTTAGTGGACATCATAAGTTCTCAGCACATGCGTGAAACGGTAGGATCGGTGGTAGTTTTAGTTACAATCAGCATTTATTGTAAGAATACCATTTGTTTAACACTAACATATGAATGATGTAACATGTTTGGTTAACTCCATTCAATATCTTACAGCTCGATTAGGAAATGCATGTTTGTTGGTGCACATCTAAACATTTGCATGTAAATGACTTATTGGAGTGACAGTGGAGATGTAAATATTTTTAGCATGGTAGTTAGTATATTAAAAGATATTTGACTTGGGACTATACTCCCTCCGTCCCATAAGAAAACAACCTAGTACCAGATGTGACACATCTTAGAACTACAAATCTAGACATACCTGTGTTCAGATTCGTAGTATTAGGATGTGTCACATCCGGTACTAGGTTGGTTTTTTATGGGATAGAGGGAGTACTTCATGTTGACAGTGAGCTGTTTTGGAGTTATTGTGTAATCTCTGTCTGATTCAATGGTCTTGCTACATTATTCCAGTTGGGTTTGTAAACTCCCACCGTACACCTGTCCTTTAACTTCAGTTGTAGCCTATGTTTGTATTGCAAAGTACACTACTGACGGCTGCTTTCTAGTCACTGCTGCCATTCCATTGTAATGGACATGGGGGATTTAGATAATATAAGTGTGATCCATAATTTTGCAGTGCGGCTAACTAAAACCGCAATCACTAGGTGCTATCTACTTATGGCAAAAAAATTTTTCTGCAATTTGTTTTTAATATTTGGTCTTAACGCCATCATATTCATGTTTGCAGTTTAAGGTTAGACATAAAACCTGTATAAGTGGTTTCAGATTACATTTGTTCAACTAGTAGTATACTATGTACAATGGTCACAGTTTGGTGGCAAATATGGATACCTTCCATAAATTTTTAGTTTCTTTATACAGGATTGCACTAGGAGATCTTGTCAGAAGGGGTTGGCCAAAACCATCGAATTATGGTGGAACATGGTTTGAGTCACACGATAGAATAATTAAAATGTTTGGATCAGCTCTTCAGTCTAGCACTCCCCAGCTTGTTCAACTGATTCAGGTAGCAAACATAATTTTTCTTTTATCATTTCTACTGGCATGCTTCTATTTGCTTTCCCTTTAATGGACAACCAAGGGGGAACTTGGAGTCAAATAATTAAGAAGAAAGGGTGAGCATGTTGAGAACCAAACACGGGACCACACACCCCTGCCACTAGGCTAGCAAGTGCAACTCATCCTTTTCATTTTCAACCAGCCTTTTCTTTTGTTGTAATAACCTAAAACTGTTATGATTTATATTACCATTCCTTTTCTTTCATGCAACGAATCTGACCTACCTAGGTCATTCAACATTTAGTTCTTAATATTATCTCATTGCTAAAGCTTTTCTTGCGTTTCAGGTAAAAGAAAACATTGTAGGTCCTTGAAATCCCATGTTCCTCATGATCCCACCACTGTTTCCCTCTCCACTCTATTTAATATATTAATGTTAATTTATCTTTTTTTGGAATGTACTCTTGCTGATTTATAGCTAGGTGGTGCTTATTTCTGTTCTTTGTTCTTTGGTTCTAGCTCATCTTGGATGACATTCTTTCTGAAGAAATCGAAGACCATGGTGCCTCTGATGCTAATTGGATGCCCCTTCCTTTCAAAAAGTTTATGGAAACATTGTCCTTGGAGAGGGGTGCTTATTTGGATGACAAAACCATGCTGAATAGGGCTATAACATCCTGCAAGAAAGATCTGTATCATTATTCCCGAATTTCTGGAAAACATGTCCTTGAAGTCGTTATGGAAACTGTTCTTTCTTTGATTAAGAGGGAGCAGCTTCAAGAAGCAGCTAACGTATGCATTTTTTTTATGGGATATACTGCCTTCTTTTTGCTACTATGAGCATTGCAGGACAATTTCCACTAGTTATATGCCTCACTGATACCTTCTGGCAAATGGCTTTCTGCAGGCCATTTCAATGTTTCCCCTACTCCAACCATTGGTTGCTGTCTTGGGGTGGGATATTCTGAAGGGTAAGACAGCACTGCGGAGAAAGCTACTGCAGTTATTTTGGACGAGCAAATCCCAAGCCCTACGACTACAAGAATATCCACATTACCGTACAGAGACAGATGAGGTACTTCTGTGCTTCTTGGCTCTCTTCATTTCTCAGGTAGCATGCATAAAAAACTTGTGAACGATTGTGACAGCTTCTATTGGCAGACATCCTGCGAGGAGTACTTGTGTGATCTTCTATGCTTTCATCTGGATGTTGCATGCTTCGTTTCCAGTGTTAATTCTGGGCGCCAATGGAATTTGAGGAATTCACTGTTGTTTACCCAACAAGAGCAAGATTCTGATGTTAACAGTACAGAAATATTAGACCCTTTTGTTGAGAACTTGATACTTGAACGGCTAGCTGTGCAGACCCCCATTAGGGTGAGTTCTAATTTATCTTAAAATCCGATTACTCTGATATTATTTCTCCACCAAGCATTCACATGGCTACATTTTTACTACACCTTTCCATATTTTACATTTTCTCTTTTGTCTTATTCATTTCGTGTTGAGTGCAGAGCCTTTGGTTTTGCAGTTGATGGCTCAATATTCTTGTGAAACCTTTTCTTCTTGTAACTTCCATATAGGTGCTATTTGATGTTGTCCCAGGAATAAAGTTTCAAGATGCAATTGAGCTTGTTGGTATGCAGCCACTTTCTTCAACAACTGCAATTTGGAAGAGGTTCATAACCATCTCTGTAATGGCATTTCACCAACTACTCCATCCGTTTCATATTATAAGTCGTTTGGCTTTTTTTCTAGTAAAACTTCTTTAAGTTTCACCAAGTTTATAGTAAAATATACTAGTATTTTCAACACAAAACAAGCATATTATCAAAATATATTCCATGTTAGGTTTAATGAAACTAATTTGATATTTTAGATGTTGCTAAATTTCTATTAATTTTATCAAACTTAACAAAGTTTGACTAGGAACAAGTCAAACGACTTCAGAGGGAGTAATATTTATCCTTTTGATTTACATATTCAATATTGCATTCTTAACTTCTCACTTATTGTGTTTTGGTCCATTAAGATCTCACCATCTCTGTGACTCTGACCTGCCTTTTGCTTATCTCGATAATGCCTTAACTTGTTTAGAAGATTTCTTAACATTATTATGCAAATAAGGAGGAGGAACTTAATCTTATTTACGTATTGTTCACTCATAAATGGGCAGGATGCATGACATTGAGCTGATGCACATGCGATATGCGCTTCAGTCAGCCGCCCTTTCTCTAGGAGAGATGGAAAAGAGTGCAATTGATGGGAATGAACACCATTATCAGATAGCCTTGTCATATTTGAGGGAGATGCAAAGTTTTATGGAGGCTATCAAAAGTACTCCACGAAAGGTTGGCTTTGCTGCACATCTTTTTTGTTTGGCCCTTTGTCCTTAAATGAAGTGATGGTTTATGTGAAGCATGCAATACTTCTGTGCTAATTCTAAACGTTGTTTCTGAAATATAAATATAGAAAATCATGGGATCGTAAATTCTACCAAATTCTTGTTATCTGAACACATGTATATTACTACTTTTACACCTCTTTGTTTGTTAATGTTAAAGTCATCAGTTACATCATGTTATTTATATAAACTTTTTTTTTGTTACATGCACTTATTTTGATGAGGATAATTCATAAAGGGAAAACAAGTCAACAAAACAACAACCTGATTCTAGATTCTTTCTCCATTCTCCATAGCACCAGATTCCTATCAACAACTACCTACTTTTGTCTATTAGCACCTCATCATTTGAAAATAACATACACCAGAGAATAGTCCCTTGTATGTCCCCTGTGACTTCATCCATCACAAATGCTAAAAATCATTAGGGCTCAGGGGTAACCCGTCATGTAGTCCTATCTTAATTGGGAAGTTAGCATCCTCGCTGTCACATTTTTGAAACTTTATGATTTTTCAGTGCCTACCACAGTGACCATTTTTGGTGTTCTGTAATATCCGATCTCCAAATTGATGAATACCAAGTCCAGATTCTTCTGCTCCAGTCAACCTTACATTTTGAAAAACAAAGTGACTAAAGGGAATCACTCACAATATTTATGTAAGAGAAGTGCATGCCTTACTGTCCTCTACGATCTTGTGCATTTCATGCTGATACTTCTCTGTAAAATCTTTAAATGGTGATGTTTGTTTTGACTTTTAGAGGATGAACTATGATGCCATTACCTTGATATCCATCTGCATAGAGCTCACATTGAACCTATTAATCGTGCCTTACACACGCAGGATTTGCCTAAGCAGTTAAAGACTTAAAGCTTCTTTTGCTATCTTTCCATGCAGATTTACATGGTCAGCATTGTATTATCATTGTTACATATGGATGACAGTATAAAGCTGTCAGAAGTAGCCCCTTCTGAATGTTCTGTTAGTCATGAGTGCTTCGATAGTAATGTTGAATCTGAAGAGAAGAACATGGTGACATCCTTTGTCGGGCTTCTTCTTGATATACTTCGTCATAATCTTATGTTAGATATGGATAATCAGTCAAGTATGGGGCTATCACCTGCTGGCAGACAAGCACTAGAATGGAGATTCAAACATGCCAAACATTCCATTGAAGATTTGGATTGGCGTCTATCTGTTCTACAACGCCTTCCACCTCTGTCTGAACGGCAATGGAGTTGGAAGGAGGCATTAGTTCTTTTACGTGCTGCTCCTTCAAAATTACTCAACGTGTGAGTTCCTTGTTGCTGTATATCAATTTTTTGCTGTCTATTATTGTGCTCAATCGTTTGTACATCTGAAAGATCATCATGCTCTCATGCTCTGATGCGAAAGGGCATGCAGTCTAGTGGTTGCAGTGACCTGAGTAGCACCTCAAGGTCCTGAGTTCAAATCTCCATAGGAGCGAATTTCAGATTGGGTTGTTTGAGGGGCTAAATTCCCAATTTAAAAGGCTTCATATATTCGGTTGGATGTAGAAGCTGGGTAAAAAAAAAAGCATTATCCGATATAGTTATTAGATTGATTTGTTTGTATGTGCATATCATCTTGCATCTTTGTTTACACAGCTAAGGTCACATCAAACTACGTGTAATCTGTGCATGTTTGCTCATCTGAATCATGCACCATGGGCATGCATCTCACTAAGTAGCTTACAACCCAGGGTGTGATGCTGTAGATTTTTGAGCCTATCAAAATCAAGCTCACAAACTAATCTCAAATAAAAATATAATCTATTACTAAATGCTGGAAATATGTAATTTTAAGTGAAAGTTTTATTTTGTATGTAGTAACTGATTTACAATTTCTGCCTTTTATAGCCTCTACTCTTTATTCGTTATTTTCTTTTGTTTCTTTTACTTATATGATATTTTAAGATTTAGTACACTACTTCGTATTATTTGTTAATTTCATTGTCTTTCTATCTTTTATTCGTTATTTACTACTTTTATTCACACATGATTGTGATCGGCTGTACATCATTGAAATTCTTGATAGATGTATGCAAAGGGCAAATTATGATATAGGAGAAGAGGCTGTACAGCGGTTTTCTTTGCCTGCTGAGGATAAAGCTTCTCTTGAACTAGCCGAATGGGTAGCTGGTGCGTATAGAATAGCACTGGTATGCTTACTCTTGCTATTTTTCTTCATTATTGCCTTATAGATATGAATTGTTTGGCTCCTCTTTATATCCATGCACTTTTAACTCATAGGCATCCACATGTCTGGAAAACACATAATTCCATATAGCTCTATATGGCCTGACTCACCATCGCGTGAGTGGTCCATATAGGCTATAGCAGTCTTTATGATGAACTATCCATATGCATAAGGCCTAGCTTTAAGGCAAAAATAACAATAATTTCTCTCTCCTCTCCCCTCTCCTCCCTCACATCACATGGTTGGTAATTGAGTGGGCCAGTGGGACCCAGGTTAAATGTCTTATCTTACCATATACTCCTCCGTTCCAAAATAAACCAACCTAGGAGAGGATGTATATGGTTGATTTTAGGGCTTAAGGTTCATCTTATGTCCTAAATTGTGGATGCCCGACATTGGCGTGATACCCAACATGAATAATTGACCGCTAATTTCTGTTGCACTATATTTGTAAAACCTAATATAATCATGGCATGATGAAGGATCTTGGGAACAAATCTACCCAACCCCAAGTACTTGTATAACTTTCATTGGGCAATGAAATGATTTGGCTGCATCTGTTTATAATCTCACCTTTTCTTTGACTGGTGAGAGCACACAGAGTAAAGCGTTTTGCAGTGTCATAGTCTCATAGACATGGTTAGCATATTTGGAGTGGCATATAACCTTATGATCTGTCTTCGTTCTTTCTTTTTTGGATGCTAATAGTTGCATTAGCAAAGGGAAAGGGTTCTATGCAGCATATGTGCATTCTGCAAAACAACTGAATGTTGACCAGTGCTAGAAAATATTGTGAAGTTGTATTGAACTTAGTTGTTCTTAGTTCCTTTTTATGCTGCCTGAAGATTAGCAAATACTTTCGGATTTTCCAGGTTGAAGATGCTGTAAATCGTGCCACAGACAACTCAAATGCCACACAAGAATTGGATATCTTGTCATTTCGTGCTCAGCTTGGTCCTTTAACTACTGTGAGAGTCTCTATTTATGGTCTGCATCAAATATTTTTCATGATCATCACTATGGATTTTTGACCTGAAAACACTATGTGAACTTTCAGATTCTGCTCTGCATTGATGTAGCTGCAACTTCTGCTAGGTCAGGAGATATGTGCCGATTTCTTCTTGACGAGGTAGGTTTTGATGGTTATGCATTTCTATGTCTTCATATTCTTATTCTTATGGACGTTGGTTCATGAAGATAGCATAAGGGCCCAAAACTCCAAATACTGGGATAAGGTTTGATCGCTTTTCAGAGTGGGGCTTATGTAATGAAGCTAGGCTTCACTTTAAAATTATGTATTAGCATATTGCTTGTCATGATAGAGTTACCTTGGTAACTTCTATATGGATGGTTCCCTGCTACAGTACCGCTGATACTAATTCACGCAAACCAGTAACCTTGAATTTGCTTATCCTCAAGGGTAGGATCCTTGCCATCCTAACAAACTTCTAATTTCATAACTAAACCATTTCCTTCCTAACTAATGGTACCAAATGATTAGCATCTTAGTAACCAAACTAGTTATTTAGGCAATAGATAATTAGATATTATTATTGTGGAAGGTAAACTCTTCCTTAGTCATACTGCTACCGTAGGCAGCACCCTTCTTGCTACAGTCCCAATGCCCATAACATGTACTCCCTCCGGCTTTTCTTCAAGCGCTGAGTCCCTGACCACCGTTGGTAGTAGTTGAAGCACCAGTACCATCGCGGACGCGCTTTCATTATTTAGGACTGAAACTTGGCCTAGCCTAACAGGGCCGCCGCCGCATTCCGATATTCTGTTCTTTTGCTTGTGTCCAGAGAGGGTCTCTGCCACTACAGCTCCCTGAGCAAGCTACCACCTTTTGCTTACCCTCATTGCCTTCATGATTTTAGAAATAAATCTCACCTCTCTGGACACATGCCCATTTGCTTTCACCATCAAACATATCCAGGGGCTTATTGGATCTGGTCGCTGCTGGACATGAGCCATACTCAGTGCCCTTGCAGTTGTTAGATCTGATCAGGTACTGCCATTTCCTGGTCACAGGCAATGGCCTTGACCATACAGCTGCCTGACTGCATTCATCACCGGTCGAGGACCTTGACCACGCCATTGCTGACCATTGGCGCTCACTGTCACCTGGTCATAATTTGATGAAAGCACTGCACTACTGTCATGTTGACCCTGGCAATGGCCACATGATGACCAATACTTGTCGCACATTTGCTGTCCTAGCCAGGCCATGTCACATTGGCGAAGAAGGCAGCAAATGGAAAATATCAGGTGGTAAATGCAAAAAGAGTTTAGCTTTCAGTAACACCATTCATACAATTTATAAACAGTACTTGGCAAACGCTTTTACGGCAATAATTGAGTGGTACATAACCAAATTATCCATATTTCTGTAAAGGCCAGTAAATGATGTTTATCTATGTAAGGCACATTTCACTGAATGATGCAGCTTCATTAATCCTGAGAACAAAAAAAAAAGGAACAATTAAACAGCAAATACTTTGTCTCTGCATGTTTTGCACTGTTTAATTTGACATCGCGATTCCTGTTCTGCAGACAATTTTTACACTGTTATGTTATGTTGGTTCAAGTTGTACAGGCTGCACAAGTTCACTTGGATAACTTCTAGCTTATGGTATATAGTACTTATTTTTTAGATAATTGAAGGCTTTAAGTGGAAATTCTTTCACATATGCAGGCTACAAGTTTGTTATCTGAAATATTTCCAGGAAGCTCCCCAAAAGTAGGTCCAAATTATTGGGATCAGATTCAAGAAGTTGCTCTCATATCAGTGATAAAACGCATCCTTCAGCGTCTACGTGACATCTTGGATCTGGTGAGCTTTTGTTTTATTTGTAACCACTTGTAGACATTACTGGGTTGTTTAAAATCAAACCGTCCTAAGATGAGTACCACCATGTGCTGAGTTGCTGATCTCATGGTTTTTGAATGAATGTCTAGGACTTCTTCTTGTTTTGCTTCCTCAGTTATTTCCTGGGTGAAGTATTACACTGCTAGGAGTACAAATGCATTACTTGTAATAAGGGTTCCCTCAGCTTTTCCATGATTTTTTCCCTCGAAAATGCAGGAGAGCTGCATTTCATTTCATTAAGGGGAAGAAAAACAACACAAAAACACAAAAACGCAGGAGAGCTTTTTCCATGCTTATTAGCACAGTCAATGTCAAGCTGTTTCTTTATAAGAATACTATGCATTGATTATGTCTGCAACTTTTAATTTGGTTATTGAACCAAAGCAGATGTGATATTCCTACTATTGCATGCTTAATAAAGCAAAACATCTATGCATTTTTTTAGGGTTAATTGGATCCATGCCATTATAACAAAAATTAGAATGACATATCTTTTGGTCTCATCTAGGAGGGCTATCCATATCTTCAATTAGTTTTTACCGAGATGAATGCCTCCTCATCAACTGAATCTAGCAGAGTTGGACAAAAGCAACGTCCTCTTGGGCTTCTGCACCAAATGATTGATGATGCTTTCAAAGGAAAGCGACAATTCTTAAATGGTAATTTTTTCTACTTTATTCGGTTGAGCGGTAAGTCTGTTTTCTGTGATGTTCTAATAGCATTTCTGAACAAATCTTTCAGGTAAGCTTCACAATGTTGCAAGAGCTATTGTTGATGAGGACTCTGATGGTACTTATTCAAAGGAGAGTATCAAGATAGAAAAGAGAGATATTTTGAGCTCTGAAAAAGGAATAATCCTTGGTCATGGACTTAGAATCCTAAAGCAAGCATCTAGGACTGACCAAACAGCGTCAACTGTTGTTGAAAACAATGCAGAGCACAAAGGATCTACTAGCAGATACCTGGGTCCTGTATCCACTAAGCCATCAACATATTTATCAAATTTCATAATATATATTGCAACCATTGGTGACATAGTGGATGGAACTGATACGACTCATGATTTCAACTACTTCTCCTTAGTCTATGAAAGGCCCAAAGATGTAAGCCATTTACAATTTTACATATCATGTTCTGAAGTCAGATCAAATCTATACATTTTCACTTTTAATGTTTTTCCTTCTTTGTACTGGAAACTTGAAATGATAGTCCTTACCAAAAGTTTCCCCATTTAGGATTATGTTTAATTGGCTGGCGTTTTTATTAAGGCCTGTTTGATTCAGTTCCCGTATCAATACATACTTAACTCATTGGGCTTCTGCCTTCTATTTTCTTTAAGTGACAATATTTTGTGATAGAAAATCTTGCTGTTAAGACCATCCATAAATTTCTGTGTTTTCTTGTATTTTGTTTTGAGATCTCTTTGGCCTCAGAGCTAATGTGGAACCTGGAATTCATAATGTTAATGTAAATAGATATTAGTTGTTAGGTGTCCCTGGAATATCTTTTACAAGTTTTTGTGATTAAATGTTTAAATATTATCTCCGTGCCAAATATAGCTACTTCTGGGTTATGTACATAGCCAGAAGTTGTTATATTTTGGGGTGGAGATAGTATATTTAGTTGAACATAGCAGTGTCCGATTCTGTTTCCTATGATTTTGTCTGACCTAAATTTTTATTCAAAGTGCTTCAACCATGATGGTTTATATTTGATTTATTTCAACATCCTTTATAGTTTCACCTTAAAAGTTGGGGATAAAACTTGGTAAGAAATCATGCCCACATGAGGATATGCCAATGATAACATTAATAAGGGCATGGTATATTTGTCTATGAAGTGAATCCTTTTTAGAAACAGGGGGTAACTAATGTTCAATGTGGGCCTATTTCATTATTCTGATGTGAAACCTGGTATTGATTTGTATGAACTCAATTACTGCTCTTTTGGCAGCATTCTGACCCACCAAACACTTTCCTTGTTTCTATTATGTTAATTTCTATGTGGCTCAAAAACTTAGGAGCCATATAAATTTGTTTCAGCATGCAGCTTTTAGTCATATAACATGTGTTTTGGCATGCAGCTTTTAACTCGTCTTGTTTTTGAGCGCGGAAGCACTGATGCAGCTGCAAAAGTAGCTGATACAATGGGTGTAGACTTTGTGCATGAGATCATATCTGCTTGTGTGCCACCTGTTTTTCCTCCACGCACAGGACAAGGATGGGCTTGCATTCCTCTTTTACCTACCCTTTCTAAAATTAATTCGGAAAACAGATCACAATCTGCTCAAGGATGGAGTGCGCACGATTCATCATTGTCTTCTCGTCAGGAGCCCCTTTATCCTCTTCAATTAAATTTAGTTAAACATTTGGCACAGTTGTCATCAGTTAGAGCAGTTTTGGCATGTGTGTTCGGAAGTAGCATACTATCTGGTGACAGTGAATTATGTTCCAATGTAAAAGATGCAAAACAAGCCCCTGAAATCAAGAGGTCATTCTATGAATTTGCTCTTGAGCAATCAGAAAGGTACTGAACTACTGATTAGTCATTTAAATGATTATATTTAACTTTACTTTTGTAATTGACTAAGTTCTTTACAGGTACCCAACATTGAACCGTTGGATACAGATGCAGTGTAACCTTCATCGAGTATCTGAATCTGCTGTATCAGCTGAAACTGACAATGAAGTCACCTTGCATCAGCCCAAGGGAAAGTTTTCTTCGAAGCGAGCCCGTGAACCTGACAGTGATGCCGAATCGGAGATTGAAGATATTGTCATAAGCGGGAAATCCACTTCAAATTCACTAGAATCTCCTAAGTGTGATGAGGCTAAATTAGAGCCAACAACTTTTATTTCATTTGACTGGGATAATGAAGGACCATATGAGAAAGCAGTTGAAAGGTAACACATCATTTGTATGCCACTCCTTCTGCTACTTGGAAAGGTTGTTTGAGTAGTTTGAATCTGATGACTGTGGTTACTTTGTTTTTGCAGGCTAATTAATGAAGGAAAACTGACTGATGCTCTTGCTTTATCTGACCGCTGTTTGCGCAATGGAGCTTCTGATAAATTGCTTCAACTGCTCATTGAACAAAGGGAAGAAATAAGTTTAGGGGCCAGACAGTCCCGTGCATATGGATCTCATAATTTTGGGAGTGATACATGGCAGTATTGCTTGAGGCTGAGAGATAAGAAACTGGCAGCTCAACTTGCTCTGAAGTATGATAAGACATTTTAGTTTGAACCTTTCATTGTTGCGATGAAACTTCTGATTTATACGCATATTTTGAGTTTTAGTGTCTCTGATACACATGCAATTTGTGTGCATTATCATGCTACCATCTTCTGTTATCCAGATGTGCTTATTGAGTTATTTATTGCATATGAACACTGGCAGGTACCTGCACAATTGGGATCTTGATGCTGCAGCAAATGTTTTAACTCTGTGCATCTGCCACTTACCTGAGAATGATCCAATGTGGAGTGAGGTAGCCAGATTTGCATCTAATTGCATCTTAAGTTTGTACATTATCTTCAAAGGTCATACTGTATCTCGTGATTGCTCACCATGATTTTGTTTTGTCTAAGAAAATCATGATTTTAAACATGCATGGCACATTGCCACCTTTGACATATGCCTACCCAAGCTAACACTAGGAATGGCTTACTGGCTTCTTGCCAAACTGCTTAGCATTTCATGTACAATATGCACTTGAATGATTACATTTTTGTGGGCAAATTTTTCAATGATAAATGCCCAAATCTGTCTGAAGTTTGAGCTTTATAGATCTTGTTTAGCATTGTTTGCTTGTTAAATCTCTGCCTTTTTATTTGTACAGGTGCTACGCATGAAGCAATCTTTGCAACGCTATGGTCATATTATGACTGCAGATGACCATTACACCAGATGGCAAGAGGTAACCCAATCAAATGTGCACAAAATACTGACTAAGCCAACCCTCCTCCCATTTTTTTTAAAAATTATTCAAATGCAACAAGCATAGGCTTCAGCCTTTTCTCCTCAACTTGTTAAGTGTGTTCATCATAAAATTTCTGACCATTGCTGAAATTATTAGGTCGAAGTTGATTGTGAAGATGATCCAGAAGGTTTAGCACTTCGACTTGCTGCCAAAGGAGCTGTTTCTGCTGCTTTAGAGGTTGCTGAAAGTGCCTCTTTATCAATTGATTTGCGGAGGGAACTGCAAGGCCGGCAATTGGTCAAACTTCTAACCACTGATCCACTGAATGGCGGAGGGCCAGCTGCAGCTTCGCGGTTTCTGTCAACCTTGCGAGATTCCAATGATGCTCTCCCTGTTGCCATTGGTGCCATGAAGCTTCTACCTGACCTGCGCTCAAAGCAGCTTCTTGTATGTTGGCAGATGTGACACATAAGTCAAGTGTGGTAAAGCTTTCCTTTCAGTGATTAAATTGAAATCGATTAATGTACTTTCAGGTACACTTTTTTCTTAAGCGTACAGTTGGGAATCTGTCAGATGATGATGTTGCACGACTTAATTCATGGGCCTTAGGTCTCCGGGTTCTGTCCTTATTGCCATTGCCATCACAACAGCGTTGCTCTTCTCTGCATGAACATCCTCAGTTGATCCTGGAAGTATTATTGATGATGAAGCAACTCCAGTCTGCTTCTTTGGTATTGCATTGCATCTCAACTGATTTTTTGTACTTCTTGACTCACAATCTTGAATACCCTAGAAGAATAAAAATGATTATCATCTCTCAGTACTAAACTCCTTACAGCTGCCATTATACTTGCTGTACCTGTTGTATTAATGGAATATTTCTTATTTTTGACTGCAGATTTTGAAAGAATTCCCATCCCTGAGGGATGACAAGTTAATTGTTACTTATGCTAAGAAAGCAATATCTATTAATGTTAATTCTACTCCTAGGGAACCTCGACTAACTATCTCTGGCTCAAGAGCAAAGCAAAAAAAGGTTGCTGCACCAGCCAAAACAAATTTTGTGCAGAGCTTTGGTAACTTCCAGAGAGAAGCACGCAAAGCATTCTCATGGGTCCCTCGTGATAGTGGCACCAAAACACCCCCAAAAGATATTCTTCGGAAAAGAAAGAGTTCAGGTTCAGGAGGTGAAAGGTCCTCTTGGGAAGCAACACCTAGTGTACAGGAGGAGCGGGCACCTGAATACCCTTCTGAGGGGCAAGAAAGACTTCCTTTTGTCTCTGCTCCTGAGGAATGGGTGCTTACTGGAGACCCTGATAAGGATAACGCAACTCGTGCATGCCATAGATACGAATCCTCCCCTGATATTACATTATTTAAGGTAAGCCAAATTTATCAGGCTTTGTCTTTCTGGCAATGCTGCTGACTTTTACATTTTTATCCTCCATAGTCTGAATTGGCTCCTGTGTTTTTTCCATGTAATATGTTATGCATTGACGCTGGCCTAACTTTCTGCTAGCCTGTTGACTCTGTATGGTTTTGAGTTGTAGCTTTTAGTTATGTACTTATGTTCTTTGTATAAAAAAATTGAACCTTGCTGTTTAGTTGCCTTAGATTTTGATGATGTGCAGAAGTGTGAATTTGGTAGAATCATATGAGTAATACTGTGTTAGAAAAAAACATAAACAGAATTTATATATTGTAGCACATATTGTTTTCAACTGTGTGCCCTGGAAGGGACTTCCAAATTATCCAGGAGACCAGGACATGCAATGCACAGGTTTGTGACGAAACAGGATATAGTTGAGATGAATCTTGGGCCTAATAGTCTTACTGAGTTGTTATGTAAAATGCAATTGGAATTTACACTTCTTTTGTTAGATTGTACTGACTGACTAAACAGCACTACTCCCTCCATCCAAGAATATAAGCATATCTGGAGTTTTTTGGGGTGATGTGATTGGTTGACATGGGGAAGTAGCGGGGAAATTAAATGAGGGATGGTTGTGATTGGTTAAGATGAAGTAGGTGGGGAAATGCTTATATTCTTGGACAAATTTCAAACTTTCAGATGTGCTTATGTTCTTGGACAGAGGGAGTATACACTAAATAGGGCAACATAGTGACAGCATGCTAGTAGTTTCAGAGATGTTAGTTAATATTTGTAATGATACTCTTGTTGGTCTGCTTAGTTTTCATCCACTCCTGTAATTCAGTTTTCTAATATATTAATAAACTTAGAAAATGGATGTGTTTTGCTACTACTTTTACTAGCAAATCTTGTAAACATTTTAATTTATGAATTGGAGTTAAGGGGTGCTTTCAATGTTTTGACTTCCTGTTATCTATTTGCTCTAATTCTTCAACAATCCTTTTGTAGGCATTGCTTTCATTGTGCACCAATGATTCAATAGCTGGGAAAGGTGCACTCGAAATTTGTATAACTCAGATGAGGGATGTGCTGAGTTCCCTACAGTTGCCCCTCAATGCGTCTATGGACAACATAGCTCGAGCTTATCACGCGACAGAAACTTATGTACAGGTACACGAAATGGCTAACAAGATGGAACTTTTGAGTGGTACAGCATGCTAAATTAACAGTATGTCATATGTTCAGGCACTCTCTTATGCGAAAAATCTATTGAAAAAACTAGTGGGGACTAGTGATTTGTCAAGCAGCTCCGAAAGAAGTAGAGATGTTGATGATATTTCTGTGGACACGGGCAGTTCAAGCGCTGGAAGCCAAAATATAGATGGGCTGTCTGATCTCCTACCTCTAGCTGATTTGTGGCTAGGGCGTGCAGAACTACTTCAAAGCCTTCTGGGGTCAGGGATTATTGCCTCACTAGATGACTTTGCTGATAAAGAATCTTCAACTAATCTGCGTGACAGATTGGTCAGCGATGAACGGTATAGTATGGCTGTATATACTTGTAAAAAATGCAAGGTACGAAGTGTTACAACTTATTTCTGGTTTATACTTCACACTTGCTATGACATGGACAGTAGGCTTAATGGTGTGATCAATTTCAGATTGACGCCTTTCCAGTTTGGGTTGCATGGGGCCATGCTCTAGTTCGAATGGAACATTACTCTCAAGCACGTGTGAAGTTCAAGTATGGAAAGCTCTGCTTGTAGGTTTTGCCAAAAGGAAATAGCGTTAGGGGAACACAAGAATATGTCTGCCTTCAGAAAATAAGACAAGAGGATAAATGAACTAATAACCTTTTCTGATCATTTTAGTTCTTTTAAGGTCCAAACTTTCGTTGTTAATGACGAAGAGGTTTTTTTTATTACTAGCTTCGTTTTGTTATATTTTTTCCTCATTAGACAGAAGGGATTTTGTCCTCTAGCATGAATAGTTTTTATATGTGAGGCCCAATTGTTAAAAGATGTTTAACATAAAGTTTGTCTATTTTCTTCTATCCTTCTACTTTATCACCAGAAGGATGACGAAATGTGTTTCCTTTATTAAATTCGTTGCTGAGATAAGTGAGTTAAAAGAGTCGCAATATAAATGGAATATTGAAACACTTTTTCGTACGTCCAGAGTGTGAGAGAGGAGATGTTGCTAATGCTGATCTAAAGCATTCTGAGTTTGAGCACTATGTTAGCTCATTATCTTTTAATTTGCCTGTGGAAGTGATACTGTTTATCTATTGTAGTTTAACCTTCTGTTGTACTCCCTTTCCAGACAAGCTCTTCAACAATACAAAGGGGATGCAACTCATTTTGTCCTTGAAATCATCAGTACAATTGAAGGAGGGCCTCCTGTTGACGTTTCTTCTGTCCGTTCTATGTAAGTGATTAGCTTCAAGATTTTTTTTCCATATTTTTCTGAACTTGCAGTAAAACATTGTCCTTTGACAGACACAAAAACAGATGACGATCGCACTAAACACTCTGTGATCCATAGTTATATTGATGATGCTCCCTTGATAATTCAGCAATAGATCTTATATGCTATATTTAGTGTTTCTTTCTCTTATCTTAGTTGACATTATCTGTATTTAAGCTTGAGGCGAAAAACTGGTTACTGGCTGATCAATTCACCAAAATAATCTATTGCCACTTTCTAGCATTTTTGGGAACCAGGAGAAATTTCTTTCCTTCTTTTCAGTAACAATGCTGTTAACCTTGCATTGCAGGTACGAACATTTAGCAAAAAGTGCAGCTACCATTTTTGATGATTCACTTTCTGCTGATGCTTACCTCAATGTTCTCTACATGCCATCCACATTCCCACGATCTGAGAGGTCCAGGCAATCGAAAGGTCCTATGGACAGCCAGTTTGAATCTGTTGGTTCATACCTAGAAGATGGTCCTCGCAGCAACCTTGATGGAATCCGATATGCCGAGTGTATTCATTACTTGCAAGAAGTAAGATTTATACCCCCAACTGTATTCCTATTCTTCTTTCGCTAGCATACTGCCCACATGGTGCATAGATCTCAAATAAATATACTGTTAGTTCTTAAAAAGTGCAAAAGAAAAAAATAATCCAAACCCCAAATCTGTACACAACATTTACATCAGTGATCTTACAAATAACACAGAGACGAGATCTTTTGAATTGAGAAGTTAGGGGTGTAGGCATACCATCACCACAACTCCTTTAGGCTGTGTTTGGAACCCTGGGTTCCCAACCCCTCTCCATCGTATTCCGCGCGCACGCTTTTCAAACTACTAAACGGTGCGTTTTTTGCAAAAAGTTTCTATATGAAAGTTGCTTAAAAAAATCATATTGATCCATTTTTGAAAAATATAACTATTACTTAATTAATCACTCGCTAATGTACCGCTCCATTTTCTGTGCGAACTGTGCTTGTTGGGAACAGATGCTTCTGAACACAGCCTTAAGTCTACTGGATTATCCTAGCTCAGCTGCTTAAAAGTTATAGTGGCTGTTACTGTATGCACCTGAATTGTATTCCTCATGTCCTGTTCACTACTGGGGTGATCAAATTCATACAAGATCTCGGCAGCTAAAGCCACAACCCTGAACTATTTTTCAAGTTTTGGTTCACAATTGGCACAGCTCCTTTTAGATGCATTTTAGAAATTGGATAATCTATTTAATATTTTGTCAATTTAAAGCAATTAATGGTTTTTTTTCGGGGATTCTTGCAGTATGCTCGACCAGAAATGCTTGCTTTCATGTTCAGGCATGGTCATTATGCAGAAGCGTGCTCCCTGTTCTTTCCATCAAATCAACCAACTGATGAAGGGGAAACATCTTTGTCTTCAATTCCGCGAAATGATCCTTTGACAACTGATTATGGGACAATAGATGACTTGTGTGATCTGTGTCTTGGATATGGTGCTATGACTGTTTTGGAGAACACAATCTTGACAATTACTCAGTCACCCACATATCAGGGCTCAGCTATGACTCAGTACATGAATGCTATCCTCACTCGCATTTGCAACTATTGTGAAACACATCGGCATTTTAATTACCTCTACAACTTTCTGGTACTGCTAACAAATTTCCCTTCGAATTATTCATGTGGAATACACTGATTTTGTGCCAAGTGTTAGTTACACTGATGTGGTGTATCAGGTTCTAAAAGGTGACCATGTTGCTTCTGGACTTTGCTGTATTCAATTGTACGTTAATTCAATGTCTCAAGAGGAGGCCTTGAAGCATTTGGGACATGCCAAGGTACACTTCTATCATATCTTTATAGCATAACATGCTTGTGGTATCTATGAATGATTGCACAATTGTGAGTTGTGCAATCCTTGCATTGTTATTGCTAGAGGTCTGGAGCATATGCATCTTGTCTAGCCTACTCAGGGAAGCAGGATCTTCGTAAACCAGCATTAGCAAAAGATTAAGTGACAACTACCACTCTCTTATGAATGGGAGGGTAGAGTACCCAATGATACTAGTAGTATTATCTAGTTATGAATTATATTAACCAATTTTGACATTCTTTAAATTATTAGATGCTGCTGCCCATGGGCATCATGAGTTCTGACCTGCCAGTTGACCACTTGGCTTGTGCTGTTGTTGGTCCCGTGGCCCTTGTTCATGCAAAACATGGATATGCTTGGATTTAATTGGCCTAATCTCTGTTTCTAACTCTACCGTATCACACAATTGCTAGTTTGTTTATGAGGATCATTGGTCTAGCTGAAATTTAATAACAGAATAAGCTTCATTTATGAGAATGATTTCTCCACATGTCCATACAGTTGTGGCCTTGTGGGTACATATGCTATCACCACCCAAATGTCTTGATAGCCAATATTGTTGCAAACTTCCAACTTTCAAACCAAACAACCCCTATTCCGTTCATCCCAATGCCCTAGCACAAGACTTGAAGCACTTTGGATAGGTAGCATAGACCATGTACCTGAATATTCATGCCATCTGCTTCATTTTGTGTTATTTTGGAATTGACCAAGAAAATCACTTATATTATGGTCATAGTTGCAGAAAAACTCAGGTTTCTTGGTGAGTGGTAGTTACCCAATTCATTTATGCTTCAACTAAAACATTCATCTTGCACCTTGGGATTTAGTAAACCAGAACTACCTCTTTAGCTTTTTGGCTTCCATTTACTACTCCCTCCGTTTCACAATGTAAGACTTTCTAGCATTTGCCCACATTCATAAAGATGTGAATGAATCTAAATATTTATATATGTCTAGATTCATTAACATCCATATGAATATGAGCAATGCTAGAAAGTCTTACATTGTGAAACGGAGGAAGTATTTTTTAACAACCCTTGACCAAATTTCAACTTGTTACCATCAAAATGCATGATATGAAACTCTGACTATTTTGCTCGTATATATTCATCAGAGTTAGCAAAGGCACTCTGAAGAGTAAAATTGTTTTGGTGGGGTTTAACACCTTATGACCATAAAACCTGGGTTAAGTGACACTAACCAAGAAACCTAGTTATTTGTGCAGCTACAGCCATGAAACAAATGTTTTGAAGTTTACTGTAACAAATAATGGTGAACATGTGTTTGCATAATATACTTTGTTGGGTAGATTGTGGTACCATAATACAATAGTTATGTTGCCATAATTTTCTGTGTTGATGCAACTTGCTCATCACACAGTGACACGGATGGCTGCTGTAAATAAAAACATTTTTGTTAAATATGGACCTGGGTTCATTTTATTTGGAGCTCTATTGTATTGTAAAATAAACAAATAATGATTTAACTGTGTTTTTCTTATGCTGGGCATTCTTATGAATGCAGTCACATTTTGAGGAAGCCTTATCAGTGCGAGATAGAACAACTGAGGCTACAAAGCTGGTACCAAGAACTGCTCGCAATAAGAGTGCATCAGAAAAAATGACTCGAGAAATGATAATGAAATTTTCTACTAGGGTGTCCTATCAGGTGAGGAAATTATCGAAACAGATAAAATTTCTTTGTCAAGCATTCATTATTTGTTTTTTTATCAATACATGTATATATATATATATATATATATATATATATATATATATATATATATATATATATATATATAACCAGCATGACTATTATTTGTACTTCCTCCATCCCAAAATATAGCTACTTTTCTGGTTCAAATTTGAACTGCGAAGGTAGTTATATTTTGGGACAGAGGGAGTAGCTATGTAGTAATTTTGTATCTGCAATGTTAGATCTAAATCAGCTAAGATATTTTTACATGATCGATTGTAGATGGATGTAGTGAAGGCCCTCAATAGTGTAGATGGTCCACAGTGGAAAACTTCCCTTTTTGGGAATCCAACTGATGCTGAAACTCTGAGGTTTGTATCACTTCTTTGCTTGTGAAGGTCGATTCCCTTTTAACTGCTCTTGGAGGAGGTCAAATTATCAACACATTACTATCTAAGCGAAATGTGCCTCTTGGACTATCGCTACTATCACATGATAAAGTTTAATTTACATTTTTCACTTCATGATTTAGTTTTATCATGCTATTATTGAGCTATTTTAAGTGTAATACTGTAATGGCAGAACCGTCGACATAGTTTCCCTGTTAGTGCTTCAAATGGTTGAGAGGCACTAAAAGTGATTATGCCGAGTTTGTTCTTTTCATTATTTATTTGTTTTTTGTATCAAGGTTTCTGTAGACATTCGCTGGGACTAAACTGCTTTCTATGTTATCTTTATGACAACATTTAGTTAGATTTCATCACCTGTTGACTTGTCTTTCATATTATTATATTACAGGCGGAGGTGCATGGTTGTTGAAACGTTGGCTGAGAAGCATTTTGATTTAGCTTTTCGGATGCTTCATGAGTTTGATCTCCCTGGTACTTATTGAAATCAATATTTGCTCCTAATTTTGTGGAATTAATATTCCAAGATATGCTTATCGTGGACATGGAATCTACACACTCAAGTACTTTCCATTTCTTTACAGCTGTTGATATATATGCTGGTGTGGCAGCATCCCTTGCAGAAAGAAAAAAAGGTGGCCAATTGACTGAGTTTTTGAAGAACATAAGAGGAACCATAGATGATGATGAATGGGATCAGGTAACATTTACTCCGTAGTCTTTTTCTGCAGCCTTCAGCTTTGATTACATGCCAAGACTTGGAAAGAATATTCTTGGAGCAGAATATATTGGCCATGATAGAATCTTTTGAATTATGTGTTCTCCTTGTTAATCAGCTTGCCAGATGATGCTGGCTAGTTTTTAGTCCTATATCAAAATTCACGTTGTTCATATGTAATTATTGTCTAGGGTTCACAAATTTGATAGAATGCTATGTATATGCTTCCTAAAAAAAGAGTATCATATGAATGCTAACTCTTCCTATCAAATTCTATTTCCTATATTGCAGGATGAATTTGTTTCATCAGGTGTTCAACTATTTAACATGTTACTGATGTTCAGTCAACATATGCTTAAAGCCTTGGACATGCTTTGCATACTTATGGTCCTTGACAGAACAAATGTGCTTTATCATTAGCCCAATATGTGATGCCCATTGTTTAGTAGATCTATTCGTGTGTGAGGATAGTTTATTTGATTGCTCTGCTGATATATTTGTTCACTTGCTTTTAATAGGTTCTGGGGGCTGCTATAAATGTTTACGCTAATAAGCACAAAGAAAGACCAGATCGCCTTATCGACATGTTACTCAGCAACCACAGGTATCAGTTGTTCACTACATAGGAAAGATACTCAAATGTGCCACTTTATTGTCATGATGGAACTTAACCTTAATTTCCTCCTGCCTTGCCTCCTTTAGTACTACAAATTACTTTATGGTTCTGCTGATGTGGTATTTTAATTATTATATTATCTGTAGTTACAGGCTAGTGTTATAATCACCCAAATAGTAATTTGTTTTGGTACCAAAATCATTAGACACCAACAGCTTACTATGCAGACTAGTAGGCATTCAATCATAGGAGTTTCTATGAGACATGCCCCCCCCCCCCCCCCTGGGCATGAATCACTTCACAGACCTCTGCCACTATACCGCCCTCAATAAATCTAGCTAACATTTTTTTATTTGGGGTACAAACCATCTCCAATACTTACCAAACATCAGCCGAATGGGCTTTTACCCTTCATTCTTTTGACTGCCTGTCAACAATTGTTCAGGAAACAATCATGTTTATTAATGACTCTATGAGTTTAAGGTGAACTTTGAAGCACCTCTTTTCCACCCTTTCTAACCTGCTTCTGAACTATTCAGGAAAGTACTTGCCTGTGTTGTGTGTGGCCGTCTAAAAAGTGCATTCCAGATAGCCTCCCGAAGTGGAAGTGTTGCTGATGTTCAATATGTTGCTCATCAGGTCAGCCACCTTCACAGGTCTACAAATGTTTCATGCTTGATGACAGAATAGGTTTATGGTTGTTCCTTTGCAAGTGTTCACTATAACCAGAGATCAGTTAAAGCCCCATGGGCCAAAATCTGGTTTGGTAGATAATGGGCATATGCCAATTGGATCCCTTCTTTTTAAGATCAGTTCTGTACTGTTTTATTGGATAAATGGTGGAGGAAAACTGAACTAGAAGTCTAATATTAAATGATTATTCAGGCCTTAATTTTAAGATCAGGTCTATACTGTTTTTATGGATAAATGGTAGAGGAAAACCCAACTGGAAGTCTAATATTAATGACTATTCAGGTCTATGTTAGGCCCTGAATTTTGAGGTTACTTATTTGGCACGTTTGTATTAAGCGTATTACCACAGTCACGTTAGGAAATGGTGGAGTTCATTGCATTTTCAAGATATTAACAGGAGCCTACCTATCAGTTAGCCCCTTTGTCTTGTTTTGAATTTTAGATCTGTTCTCAGGACTCCAGTTGGCAATAGCATGGTTCAAAATGTTAGGGAAAATCGAAACTAAAAGTTTAGAGACTAAAAAAAGGAAGGCTTTTTTTCCCACTAGTAATGTTTTAGGGAAAAGATACAAGTAAATGAAGCAATATGTAGCTGAATATCCCCTCATCCTCTATTCACCGTATTTTGTTCTAACTGATGTTTCATGTTTGGTAGGCATTACATGCAAATGCGTTACCCGTTCTTGATATGTGCAAGCAATGGTTAGCTCAGTACATGTAATTCCATGTGCTGTGCCACCCCATAAATGCTGGAGTGCTCAGAACTACACAAAAGAATGGTAACATCAGGAGACATACTCCGTAGTTCTTTGGTGAATGATAACATCAGGGGACATACTACGTAGTTCTTTGGTGAAACTGCCCTGAGAATGCTGAGAGCAAGATCAAAGACCATGGTGTACAGTTTTCCTTCCTCATGTAAAGCATGCGTGCACACCCATGCCTCTATATATATTTGTTCTTGCAAGTGGCCTTTTTTGTGGCTCATTTGCAAAGGGAGGTGCTTGTGGCTTCCTCTGTGGCTTAAAATTTTGTAGTTAACTAGTAGTACAAAGGGAGGTGCTTGTGGCTTCCTCTGTGGCTTAAAATTTTGTAGTTAATTAGTAGTAGTTCCGTTGCCTCTTATTAAAGTTGGAAAATGTGGCGTTTTTTTTTTGTATAATGAAAATAATTTTTTTTGGCAGTACAAAACCACAGCCCATGTGTACTTTTGGTGTATCTGGGTTTGCCTGTGCACAGTCTGCCAATCTAAATTGAATAAATATTGTTGGTTAAAGTTAACTTTCGTATATCAAAAAACTGAGGTAGTAACTCAGTCAGCTCCTGATTCATCTTTATTGCACGAGAAATATGGAGCCTTTGCCAGTCCAGTTGATAGTTTCTGTTTCCAAAGAGAATATGTTCATCTGAGGTCTCTTAATTTTACACCGAATCCGATTTACGCCCTTGAACCCTAAAACCAGATACAACCGGTCCCTAAATTGTTAAAACCGGTGCAAAGGAGGTCCGTCGGTGGTTTTGGCTGACGTGGCGTCGACGTAGCTGGTTTGACTAGGTCTCCGTCCCACGTGGCATTGATGTGGCAATTATGTCTAGGAAAATAATAAAAATTATGGATCCATATGTCAGCTAAACAAAAAAAAAATTTAAAAATGATGGGTCCCACATGTCATGTTAGCTACACAATAAAAAATAAATATGGTGGGGCCCACGTGAGCACCATATGTCATTCTTAAATTATTAAATGACCAAATCCAATCCTCTTCCTCCTCTCTCCGGCTCTCTCCCCTCTACTCCCTCTTCTCGCCGGCGGAGATAAGGACAGCGTGGAGAGGCGCGGCCTCCTCCACTCCCGCCCCCATGGGCTTAACGCCAGCGGCCGCCGCCCCTCTCCTCATCGCTCGCCGTGCCTGCCTCCGCCTCCACCGCCGCACACACCACCAACACCATCACACCTCTCCCCATTGATGACGAGCACCCGTTTCGGTGGGAGAGGCGGCCAGCTACGAGCGGCCGTTCGAGCGGGAGAGGCTAGCGGAGGTCGGCGGGAGAGGCACGCGGTGGATGGGGGCTCGACGGCGGCGGGCAGCGGGCGCTCGTTGTTTGGCCTTGTTTGGCCTAGCAGCTTTCGATGATAGTGTGTGTGACCAGTGTGGAGGCTTTCGATGATATCCTCGTCTCCGCAAACCACCTGGATGGCACACCACGGACAAGAATTGTGTCTGGCCTTTTCGCTATCTTCCTCACAGGATTCCCTGAACAAAGCAAGCATCAATCCAAACTCCACCTAGGAAGAATCACAACTAAGAGCAGCATTTTCATTTTAAAAAATGAATTCCATACTGCTACTGAGGAGCTCGGAGGCGTAGAAATTCTCCCAAGACTTCTTCATTGCCCTGAAGTCATCGGAGGGCGGGATTTCGACGCTCATCCGAAACTTAACCCTCTCGAGGTTGAGCTCGATCCCGGCCAGCTTCTCGACCAGGGAGCTCCTCCACTGCAAGTACTTCTCCTCCTGCTCACGGGTCATCTCCTCGGTCTCCTCATCATCATCCCCGTTGTGGCTGCGGGGGCGGAGGAATGAGAGGTCGCGGACGTGGAGGATGCCCGAAGTGACGGGCTCATTGCGGCGAAGCTTATGCAGGTCGGGGAGGGACACGGAGAGGTCGGAGTTGGGAAGGACGGGGAGGGAGAGGGGCGGGTCGCGGAGGGAAGGCGAGGTGCGCGGACTTGAGCTGCCAGATGGCAACAAGTGCATACCCATTGGGTTTCCTTGCCCCATACTCACACCCATGATGGTTAAATAAATACCCACACCTATCACGGGTACAAAATCATCCCCATACCCACACCCACGCGGGTAACGTGTACCCATACCCATATAATTGACTTGTATCATTTATAGTTTTGTACCACAATTAGCTATATTAGAACTGTAAACCCTCAATATTTTCTCTTGTAACAATGCTATTAACATTAGCGTTCAAAGGCGAGTAAAAAAATTCTACAACTACATTATATGATCAAGAAATCAAATAATAATTTCATATAACTAGACTAGAACAATGATTAAGATGTGAAAGGAGTTTTATGTTATGATTTAGTAGTCGTTTTGACTTATGTTACTTATAGTTTTAGGCTCAATCTACAGGTTTTTTTACCACGGGTGGGTAAAGAACATACCCATACCCACGTACCTAATGGGTAAGAGTTTTCACCCATCAATAGACCCATGGGTATAAGAGTTAGAACGTGAATAACTCCTAATAGAGTAAAAACCCGTCGGGCATCGGGTCATGGGTCCCCATTGCCATCTCTAGCTGCCACTCGTCGACGGGGCGGACAGATAGGTCGGCGCGGAAGAAGGTGAGGAGAAGCTTGAGGCGCAGCCATGTGGGGCCCACCATATTTTTTGGCTGACACGTGGACCCACCATTTTTAATTTTTTTTGCTAACATGTGGGACCCACCGTTTTTAAATTTTTTGTGTGGCTGACATGTGGGCCCATAATTTTTATTATTTTTTCGAGATATAATTGCCACGTCATCACCACGTCAATGTCACGTGAGACGGAGACCTAGTCAAACCAGCCATGTAGGCGCCACGTCAACCAAAACCGCCTTCAAAACCACTTAGGGGCCTCCTTTGCACCGGTTTTAACAGTTCTGGGACCAGTTATATCTGGTTTTAGGGTTTAAGGATGAAAATCGGATTCGGTGTAAAATTAAGGGACCTCAAATGAACTTATTCCTTTCCAAAGGGCTCGTTTAGATATGGATATTAATCTTAGCCCATCTTATATTTATTCTTATTTTGATTTCTCCGGCCTATATACCTGGTTGGACTTGATTGAAATCCATCTTTCGAGTTTTTTTCCAGCAAGCACTGCATTGGCCGAGAATTGGGCCACTGTTCATCATGTACAGAGTACAGACTACAGCGGCGTCGTTCATTGGATCTTCCTCTTTTTTCTAACAGGACGTCTTGTGGAAAAACTTTTTTGGCCTACCCGTTGTATCGCCTGTACTATGTGTGTACGATTTGAGGTCGCATTCATAGCCGAAGGAAAAGGTCCTGCGCATAACCTGTCTTTTTCCCTGGTCCATTCCGGGCTCATCTTTTTGCTTGTGTTTTAGTGGCGGTTAAAAAAAGGGTTTGTGTCGAGTACTACACTGATACATCACTGCCTCAAATGTTACGTTTCCCTTGCAACCCGAGCCAGGTGAGAATCGATTCTCAACCTGCCAAATTTCACTGGCCGGCCGGCACTGTGATAATATATCTGCAGCGTATGGTTTGGAGTTTGGACTATTTATGTGAGGTCTGGTTTAGGTACCAACTTTTTCTTCAAACTTTTAACTTTTCCATCGCATCAAAGTTAGTTTGGAGAAAAAATTAGTAGTTTATGTGTGTAGAAAGTTTTCGATGTGATGTGATGGAAAGTTGGAAATTTGGGAGGAACTAAACACAGCCAAAACTTTCCTACACACATAAACTTTTAACTTTTCCGTCACATCATTTCAATTTCAATTAAACTTTCAATTTTAGCGTGAACTAAACACACACACCCTGAATCCTCAAGATTTCTTCGTGCGGCATGTTCCCCACAAATTGTCCAAAAGAGACTCGAATCGAACAGTGATCAAACTTTCATTAAGCGAAAGGGCTGTACAGTATTTCTCGTCGGTGCCTCGTACTGGGATTTGGGCTCGACTTGAATAGACGAGCTCATGCGACAATCTATATAATATCCGACAACTTATATAATATCCGATGTGACAACCTATATAATTAACTGACGGATTCTGTAATTAGTTTTTTTATTAGTGCCTAAACACCTCATGCGATAACCTATATAATATCCGATGTGACACGTCAAAATTTTACACAATGAATCTAAACATCCCCTCAGTCATCTTGCAAATTCCTTTCTGGGTGGAGCGACTTATGAAATGGATGCCTTACGTTGCGTGCGCGGAGAAAAGCTTTGGTTTGGATTTCGCCGCAGCGCAGTGCGCCTCACCGAATGATGGCACGGTGCACCTCACTCACCTCTCAAAGCCACTTTCTTTACCCTTCCTCTCTCTCAAAAAAAAAAAAACCGTTTTCTGATGCCCTTTTTTGCCATCTCCGTGGACATATTTCTCCTGCAAAGATGAACCCGTCAAGGTTGGGTCCAGCCGGAGTAGCACCGACCGAGCAGCTTCGAGTTTCCACGGCGGGCGGGCGGGCTTGTGGTGTGGTGGTTCGTGGTGCAAAAATTCACGGATGTCATGTGAAGGTTGGTTGGGACTTGGGACTTGGGACAGCGAGCGTACTACGCCCTACCTGTACCTGCCTGGTGGTGGACGTGGTTGGTTGAATGGTTGGCGTGTATCTTGTCCAGTACCGTATGTTCCCGTCTCGAGACGAGACGAGACGACACCGTCGGTGGACCACGAATCCCATCAGTTTTTTCTCTTGTCACCACGGCGCGACACAAATAAAAACACAACACGGAGTGGCTTGCGACACCGGCAGGTGAGTATTTAGTAATCCCTCCGTTTCACAATGTAAGATTTTCTAGCATTATATATATGTTAAAAAATCTAAACACATATATATCTAGATTTATTAATATTAAAATGAATATAGAAAATGCTAAAAAATCGTACATTGTGAAAGAGGAAGTAGAAAAGTGTGATCGCCAAGCCGGAGGGAGGGCTTGTGCTTCTCTGATGCACCGTCTCGTCTCGTCGGCGTCCTACCTGATGCACCGTGATCCCCAGTGACCATACCAGCGTCGTCGTACTATGGTACAGGTCGCACAGGCTGAGCAGCGAGTACAGACGCAGACACGCCACCTGCTTGCTTTGCTGCTACTTCCAGGGGGTAGGAATAGTTACTCCGTAAAGACCGTAATACTCTCTCTTTGTAAAAAAAAAAACTAACCTAGATGAAAATGAGATACTCCACATTGGCTGTGTTCGGGAACCGTCACTCCCTCGCACGAAAAATGAAGCAGCGATTAGCGTTTGATTAATTAAGTATTTACTATTTTTTATCAAAAATAGATTAATATGATTTTTTAAACAACTTTCGTTACAGAAACTTTTTTAAAAAAACACACCGTTTAGCAATTTGAAAAACGTATGTGTGAAAAACTAGAAATAGGGGTCGCAGCCTGACGGAGGAAATACATCTATATCATGTACAGACTTACTCTCTTTAAAAAAAAATCTCAACCCAAGTAAAAATAGGACAACATAAAACAATGAATTTAGATAGCCCTTAAATTTGAACAGATGACTATCCAGATTTATTGTCTTAGGTTAGGTTATGTTTCATCCTCATCTATATTAAATATTTTTAAGACAGAGAGAGTAAGTTTATACTAGTATACGATAAAAGACGTACTATTTTCATAAAAAAAAGTAAATCTGAGATTGAGTTTAACACAGTATGGTATTAGTACAATCAATCTAAACAAGTTGATGGGAGTATGGGACGGATGGAGTACTGTGTAAGGGTGTGTTTAGTTGGGGAAAAGAAAATTTTTGGGTGTCACATCGGACGTTTGACCGGATGTCGGAAGGGGTTTTTGGGCACGAATGAAAAAACTAATTTCAGAACTCTCCGGAAAACCGCGAGACGAATCTTTTGAGCCTAATTAAGCCGTCATTAGCACATATTGGTTACTGTAGCACTTATGGCTAATTACGGACTAATTAGGCTCAAAAGATTCGTCTCGCTATTTCTTCTATAACTGTGCAATTAGTTTTTTTTTATTTATATTTAATACTTCATACATGTGTTTAAAGATTTGATGTGATGTTTTTGGGAAAAACTTTTTGGAACTAAACGGGCCCTTAAAGTGCATCGCTTCCTTTTAAGAAAAAATAGAGGGAGTAGAGTGGAGTATATCATTACCAACCAACCAGTCCGGTCCTCTGCGGCTCTGACTCCTTAACGTATAGATCGTAAAGAGCGGCCACCGACAGGCACGGGCCGCCGCGTGTGCGGTGCCGTGCGTCTACAGTCTGCGGACGCGACTCGACGCCACTCTCTGCGTCGGTTGATCGTCCCGTTTGTGATCGCCTCGCCGCAGGCAAGTACTACAAAAGTCAGCTATAAACCCACATTAATATATAGTCAGCTGTAATACAAAGTCTTAAACGTTAGGTGTATGAGATATGGGTCTATATATTAATACTAATGATATAGTATATATTTATATTACATGTATAGATAAGCTATTAAATTGATTATAGATAATTTGAAGTTAGTAGTTAGCTACACTGCTAAACTTGTTCTAAAAAGCATTTTTTAGGTGCCCAACCAAACACCGTACCGAGCCACCGGGCGCATGGGCGAGAGCGACACGCTGAGGAGGCGGAGGCGCGCCGCGCCGTTGGTTCGGATGGACGGGCGCGTCACGGGCTCACGGCTGCAAGCACCGCACCAAGTTAAAACCAGAGGCCGGTCGCCATCGCGGAAAATCTGTCACGACTCAGCGTCGCGTCCACCCAACGATCTCGCTCGCTTTCTCCGCCTCCTTCGCTTTTTAATCTCTCATCTCAGGATGAGGAGTACTACTGTACAGCAAGCAGGTCAGCCTCCCCTCCAACGACCACCACTCTTGTGTCTCCTCCCTCCCCATTTTTTTTTCTTAAATCCACACACCATCGCCAATAATACTACTACCGTTTTGTATCGTCTTAAATCACCGGCAGCGAGTTTCAAAAAAAAAAAATCACCGGCAGCATAGGTTAACACATTGTTCCTGGTTCATCGCACCGCGAACAAACTGCAAGTCATCCATCAATAATAATAAAAAGAAGCTGATTTTCTTTTTGAGAACAAATACAAAGCTGATTAGTAGTTGATTGATCGAACAGATATAAACCAGTTGGATACTTGGATTGATGTCTCTACATTGCTCCTTTGCTTTCTTTTTCTCCAGCGATGATGACGGTGATGATAATGATGATGATGATAGCTAGATGCTTCGGTTGGGATCGTAACAAACAGTGGTCGCTCACAAGGCAAACAAGACCTCATCAAAATTTGTTTTTATCAATCAAAAGTTATTAGTACTGCTCCTATCCATCATCACATTGCTTTCTCTGTTAAAATAATCAATCGTCATTATTATATTGCTATCAGAGCAAGTTTAATAGTATAGCCCACTACTAGTTTCAAATCATCTATAGCCAATGTAATAGCCAATTCATACAATACTTGCTTACTATACTATTAATACTTGGTCCCACATGTCATACACACATTACATCCTGGAGTTCGTGTTGTAGCTGGCTACAGATCTGTAGCCCGCTGCTTTTCTCTTCCTTTTTTTATCTCTTTAAAATATGTTTATAGCAGGCTTATAGCCTGCTATTGTACGTACTCTTACTTGTCAAATTATTGCTTAAGCCATGGATGGCAGTATGGCACTAGTACTACCACAGTACCACTACAAGTAATAGTACTCGAAGGTAAGCAAAAGGCAGTGCTGATTCCACGCAGGGAGGCCGGCAGCAGAGGCGGATTCGTGGATTGGAGCTCACGTCTTCCTCCCCTAACCCGGATGGGGAAAAACAACCTAATCCTTCGGTTTTTTGGGGGCTGGGCGGTCCTTGTTCCACGCCACAACTTTTTTAGGTTTTCCACCCCGCTGTGCTGCGTCCAGAAAGGAGAAAAGCTGGCTTTTAATAGCAGAAAAACATCGTGACATTTTACACCACTACCTATTGTGATCTCGTCGCTTACGTAGCACGTCTAAACTGTGCAACCAATTTTGTACTAGCGGTTACTGAAGTACACATTCCTTCTCACGAAAAACCAACTTCTACAACAATACGTTCGGATTCATAACCAAAGGTTATTTTTTTATGTGACAGAAGTAGTACTTAATACTTATCGTCTTTTTTTCTCTATGTGTTGTATTTATCTTGAAACAAATTCTAGTTTGTTGCTGAGTTATTCTTAATCCGTTTCATGCCTACGAGGTTTTTTCTGTTTTTTTAGAGCTATCAGCTGCTTCATGCTTCTTAAAAACACGTTTTCTAAATAAAATCTTTTACTCTATTACTTAGATAACTTATTCTGAGCTATACGTTAATTTTATTTCTTAAAATATTTAATTTATTTTTATAGTAAAGTAGTTAATCAGTAAGAATAATCGGGTGAAATAATCCGCATTGTATGCCTAAACTTCGGCCTTGTTCGTTTCTTCAATAAAATTTTAAATTCTTGTGGCACGCTTTTCAAAGTGCTAAACGGTGTATTTCGTGCAAAAACTTTTTATATGAGAGTTGCTCTAAAATATCAATATCAGATTAATCCATTTTTCAAGTTTGTAATAATTAAAACTTAATTAATCACACGTTATTACCACTTTATTTTGCGTGAAACACTTAATCTTCATATCTTCATCTTCAGGAGATTCAAACACCACCTTCGTTCCTAATTTTGTAACAATTTACCTTGCCTAAACTTTGTTCTAGTAGATATTTTGTCACAGAAGTGTATTTCTTTATACATACATGCAGCGAATACCCGCAGCATTTCAACACAGAAAATTACCTGTGCGCACATACTGTATCACAGTAACATTACACAAAGAATATACAACTACTTTATTATCGCGAATCTTTTCAGATACTACTCCTACATACAATGTTTTAACTTGCAATTAATCAAGCCTCGTGACCTGCAAGTTAATGCCGAGCTGCCCCGAGTAAATTGAGGTCATGACTCATGACTCATGAGTACCCCCAGCCACCTAACAGGGAAGCATGAAGCCACGATGAACACACAAAATACCAGCAATAAATCATAAATGTACTATCAACTGCTAGTAAATTCACTACATTCTCCGTGACTAAAGATTGAGCTTCTAACTGAAGATTATCACCGACACGTAGCGAGACAAATCATCAGCATATAATTAATTTAATACAACTATTATAACTTGAAAATTAGATTTGTTTAAATTCTCAAAGAAACTTTTATATAGAAAAGTTTTGTATAAAACACATCGCTTCACATTTTAGAAAACGTGCTAATAAAAAGCTGGAGAAAATCTCGGCCTAGAAGGTGAATTGAAATTAGGCCGAACTTCTAACTTTTATATCACAGTAAAACTTTTCTATACACATAAATTTCTAACTTTTTTCTTTAAACTTCTAATTTTAGTCAAACTTCCAATTTTGGCGTAGAACTAAACACACCCTTAGCCTTTTTGTGGTGAAGCTGGAAATCATCATAGATTTTTGTGGTGTATGGTTCCATGTATCATTGAATACGCCATCATTTACTAGTGCTGGTACACTGATTTTCAACATAGGATGCTTTTTTTTTCACCTTCCACAGTCAAATTTTTTGACTTCAGTAACAGGTTTGTTTATGACATCAGGAAACCAGTAATTCAAAAGCATGTGAAACACAAGTGATTCTGAAAACCTTAATAAGGCTACTAATTTTCAACATTGGAGTAGTATTTAACTAGGACCAATAAGCATATTTACAAGAAGAGCTTTCAAGTATACTGCTAATTATTCTGTCTCTCAAGCAAAGAAATTTAGGGCCCTCAATGTACCAGACTTCTGAATGTATAGTAATCTTCAATTTATAGAAGAATTAATTTGATAAGCAGTAAAAGAGCATATTCAATTTATATGAATATATTACTCTTAATTAACTTCAAGTTTAAATGTATAGTAATCTTTTCTTTCAAGGGATATACTAACTCCGTCTAGAAAAATAATACTATAATTATTAACTTTGCACCTAGACAACCTGGACAGTGTCCATGTACATAGCCAAAATTGTCTTATTTTAAGAACAGGTTGATACAAGTTTTCTAATGTTAGCGCATATTTTTTTCTTATAAAAAATATATTTAAATTACACGTCTTTTTTTTGGGTGGGGGAGATATACGCGTTTTCTAATGATGGCACTAATTTCTTTCTTCTACTAACTTGCATGTTTTGTTAGGAAAACTCTGAATGACTTCCTAACAAATTCTCTTTTTACCTCTGCAAAAATAATTCTTTTTTTATTTCTCAAAAGAAAAAGAAGAAAAGAGATTATGCGGATATGCCCTTGCAAACCGGGGCAGTGGACGAAAATTTCTCTGGCAAGTGGACTGGCGAGCACACTCTCCACCAGTAGAAAAAAATGCCAACCTCAAACCAGGTCAAAAAAGCAGATTTGACAGCATGCTTCTTTGGTGCCTCCACCGCCTGCATGATAAAAAAAATTCCTCCAGCTAAAGATAAAAACAATTTAAAAAATTTACTGTATATCACAACAACAAAAAAAGTCACAAATAATATCCACTTTCCCTTTTTTTTTTTCCAAATTCTCTCTCTCTACAGTCTAACACACATGCTGACAAAGGAGATCTCCACATCAAAGAAACATGACATCATAATCTTGGCAAACTTCCAAACCCTACAACAACCTTTCTCCCTCAAAAAAAAATCATTTTAATATATTTTAATCAACCACCAAAAGTAAAAAAAAAACAAATCAGCACCAGCATAGCTGCCACTTGTCCTGCACCTGCAAAATCTACTACCCCATTATTCTCAATCAAATCAGTGCATGATCAGTAGGGACAGGCCCCCCTTGAGAGAGAAAGTAGAGAGAGAAGGAGAAAAGTGTGCACTCCTAGAGAGAGAAAGAGAGAAAAGTGTGTACTGCTGGACCTACTAGTAGGGTCCAACAACTACCATTTTAGAGAGAGAAAAAGAGTTCTCTCTCCCATAAACCTTCTCCCTCTCTCTCTCTAAATTCTCTCTCCTCCTCCACTATTTCTTCCTCCCCTTTATCTTTCCGGGGCGCTGCCGGCCTCAAGTCTCCTCTTCCACCCCTCCACTTGCTGGTGCGGTGCTGCGGGCCGACGAGGCCGAGAAGGGTAGGCTGCTTCTCGATCCTTCACGCGTCCTGGTGATTGATTTTTCTTTTCGTTGGGGAATTTTTTTTTGGACCTGCATTCCGTAGGAGGGAGGGATAGATTGGAAGAGGGAGTTCTTGATTGGGGTTTTAATCTGTGTGTTGGTTCTTGGATTCTTTTTTTTTTCTTTTTGTTCTGGTCTGGGTTTTCTGATCGGTTCTATATCTGGGTTTTCTTTTCGATCTCGTTTTCGATTTTTTTTTTGTTTTTGCGATTTATAGGGTTTAATCTCCGCTCGTTTCTGTGTTCTTGAGGGCAGAAAATTCCTCGAGTTTTCTTTTTGTTCGTTGTAACTGACCTTCCGCGTTGGTGGTTTTCAGAATTTTGGACTTTGATGAGGGAGCTGCTGATTGTGAGTCAAGAACAGTTGTGAAGAGGTGAGAATGGGGGTGATAATTGATTAATCAGTAAAGGCATATCTTTTTCTTGTTTTTGTTTAGATTCTCTGTATGGTGTTGCTTTTATTATGTTTTAATAATCACTTCTCAATATAGCTAGGCGTACAAGCTAAGGAATCTATAAAAAAAAGATCATATGTTGCCTTGCACTTGAATCTTTAGAACGCTTCTATTTTGGTTCATGATGAATTATATAACAACAGTATAGCATCTATTTGTTTCTTGATGAATACTGGAATTGTGTTCCATATCAAATCCATCTGATTGCTCTGTTCTTGACTCCATGGAGTTTCTTGATACTGACACTAGAATAAACCCACTTCCCAAGTCGTCGTAGTGTTAAAGAAAAGGTGGAATTATAGAATTTAAGTTATTGACACAATAAAATCTGCAGTGAGAAGAAAGCTAGAGAAGATCAAATGGCAGCTGAATCCTCCCTGGTTCCACAAACCTCCTCTGAATCGATTGCGCAGAAGATGGGCTTCTTCAGGGTCCCTGACCTTCTTGTCAAACTGAGCAGCAAATGTTTGATTGAGCTGGATGCAGTCCGCAGCCCAACATCGCCCCTAGACCTCATATTCTTCCCAGGCCTCGGTGCCAAATCGCCGAGGTCGTCTTTCCTTGGCGACAGGGTTGGGCTTGGACTGGTGGATTCACTTACTGATGATAGCTCCACTCCCTTGGGCAGCAGGAAGGTTCTTCTTGGATCTGAGATGAGGATTACTGATAATGTAACTTCCAAGAACAGCTTCACTGCTCCTGTCGAAGCTGGGGTGGTTGATCAGAAGGATGAGAGTATGTGTGATGACCTGAAGGGTAGTTTCATGTCTCTGGATGACATTGTCAATTCAGAGGATTACACCCGTGTTGTTTGTCGTGGTCCTAACCCTAGGACAACCCACTTCTTTGGAGATCATGTTTTAGAATTTGAAGGTGAGCAGCTGATGCCTGATGAGAGTAAGAGTGAGGAGAGTTTGCCCCCTCGTCTGGAAGAGGGTATGATGAGCTTCTGTTATTTTTGCGGTGAGAAACTCGAAGAAGGGAAAGACATCTACGTCTATCAGTAAGTGATCCAGTATTATAGTAGATGCATCATCGTTGTGGATATTTTTGTTGTTGTATTCAAGAACCCTGTAGTTGTTTCGAGGGTTATCCTTGTTTCGATCCTTTCTTTATGTTTGGTATTCTATCTTTCAATCATAGGGGTGACAAAGCCTTTTGCAGCATGGAGTGCCGGGAGAATTTCATGGAAGATGAGATGGAAGAAGGCGAACCCGATCTCTCTGCACCTCCTAGCAGCCCAGTCGCCAACGATGGTTGTATTTTCCAACTGATCCAGTGAACGAGCATCAGTAAACAACTTGATATGGTCTTATCTGAAGTGCTGTCCGAGGTTAATAAGTTGCAGCCATGGATGTGATCATATTTCATTGAGTTGTTGCCTGAAGATTTTGTCTGCCGCGGCACTGATGAATTTACCTATTGATTTCTTAATTTTACTTACCCGGATCCTCGAATTTTTGGAGGAGCCTGAACGGTAACTTTGCTTCCGGTCATATTATTATTTTGGTCGGAAAGGGCGTGCGTCTGAGTTTGAATTTGTGTTTGCTTGAACCTCATCTTCAATCGGCTGTCATGTTGACACCATTGATCACTATCATGTATCTGAATATATGTGCTTCTGCTCTTTCTGGCAGAAAGGAAGTGCTAATCTTCAAGTTTACTAATAAATGATAATCATGATGTATCTGTCATGATGATGATGTTTGATTCTCATAAAATCCATGATGCTCGATTCTTATGTGGCAATCACTCCTGGATTGTTGGCAGGATGTAAGAGCATTTATCTGCAATCTTGCATGATGATTTTCTGTCAAAAAAAAATATTGCATGATGATGCGCATATCAATCAGGAAATGTTAGCAGTAGTTTTCATGTTGCTGCTAAGTTAGCATTTCACGCTACTTATCAGTGCCAAATGATGTTATTCATGTCAATTGGTTCAGGGGTTACCAATCTTAAAAGGCTGGGTCGCTGTTTTCATCGGCTCAGGAGTATCTGTCCCTTAAAACTTCACAGTGTGGATGTTGTTTTCTTTTCAGGTTTTGAAGTCAGTTTTGTTGTGAAGTGAGCTTAGTTTAACTTGGTAGGTTTCTTGTAATAGAACCAGCCTATTTATTTAGGTTCAAGTTCTAGAGTTAACACGAGTACTCGTATTTATAACTAATTATTCTTTTAGTAGTAAGTGAGGCGTCCGTGATAACGAATTCATCAATCTCGAGATGCATAGGGATAGGGAGCATATGTACTGTGTTTCTTTAGAAAAGTCACTTTTGTTCGTCCATATGGCCAATAGTGCCAGATTTGCTTCTGTAACATGTAACATTTGCTTCTTTAAGATCCTCCCTAATGATGATTGCAAAATTTGTGAACCTCTCATCTCAAATTCCAAAACCTCCCAAAACGAATTTGAATTTCAGACAGAGGAGAGAGAGAGAGAGAAAGAGTGTGTGTGTCAAGTCCAAATTAAATCCAAATTGCCTGATAGACTGATATCGTTAAGAAACTGATCTGAAGCTCGTTCATAACCGAATCTCTCTTTCTTTCTTTTTGATTGAGAGGATAATAATAGTATAAAAAGCGTTCGTAAATTGCTCACGCGGGCCATCTTTATATGGGCCGAAAAAGAAAAAAATCCGGCCCAACTCCAACGCCGCTTCGGCTCCCTTCGACTATACCTTCGCCTTCACGCGACGCGAGACTCGCCGCCGCAAGGTTCTCCTCCTCGTCGGCGGCGGATCGTCTCCTCTCCTCATCTCTCTAGCAGCCGCCGCCGAGGCCGGCGGATGGGGGGAGCTCCACGGGGAGCGGGGGGGCCTCGACGCCGCCATCGCCGAACAGGGCTCCGGCTGCGTCGGCGGCGGCGGGGGTGGCGAGGTGGAGAAGCTCAGGCGGGAGCTCCAGGCCTTCGCGAGGGCAAACCCGTTCCTGTTCGTCGACGGCCGCGTCCCCAGAGACGACGCGCGACATGGTCAAGCTGGACATCGAGGACCACGAGCGCCGCCACCCTTGCATCGACGTCTCGGGCTTGCTCGCGCGCTACGACGAGCGGGAGGAGAGGAGGCTTCGCGCCGGGAACAAGCGGGCTAAGCTCCTCGCCAAGTTTGTGTTAGGAACCCTAACGAGGAATCTCTCAATTAACTGGAATTACGAGTACGCATACAATCTCTCAATCCGAAGAATTGAGCCGCCGCCGCCGCCTGCGCCACCGCGCGGTTCCAGTTCATCGCTGCCTTCTTCATCGTTCTCTGTTTCACGTACTCACTTCGAATTAAAAATATTTATGTCATGATTAAAGAATATTTCATCATAAATCAAGTCACAATAAAATATAATTATATAATTTTTTTTAATAAAATAATGGTTAAATGTATCTTAAAAAGTTAATAACGTCATTCGTTAAAATACAGAGGGAGTATATTACAACAAGATTTGACAGCACACACTCTCTCACACGCCAACCACCCTGCCAGCTGGCTACTAGGCTCACTTGGCCCATTGGTCCCTGGTGTATCGAGAGTTGGGCTTCCTCCGTCTTGGCCCAAGTGGAGCGAAAGGTTCCTGTAGCTTGTCCGGCACGCCTCCTCCCTTACGATTTGCAGCTTCTAGCTTGAAGTCCAGCTTCCCTCCTTGGTCCTCCATGATCTCAGCTTCTTCTTCTTGGGTTCCACCATCTTGTTCTTGTTTGTCTGGTTCCTTGGAGTGGTCGTGTCCCCCCTTGAGTCCTCCAGGCCGCCTTGGTGAAGGCCTGACAAGCACCCACTCTTGAAACCAGCTTGCCCCCAAGACGGTGCATGCGGAAATCTTGTCTGCAGATCAACCATGTCCTCCCAAGTTGCATCACCCGCTGCAATTCCTGTCGAATGGGTTAACAATTGAATAGTAGTGGTTTTACTTTTCTTAGTCAAGTGATAATCAAGGAATTGGTGGGGTATCTGCAAGTGGTCTAGAGTGGCAGGTAATTCAGTTTGAACAGGGTGAGAAAAACCCTTTGCTCCCTTCAGCTGTGAGACATGGAACACATGATGGATCTGACATGATGGTGGTAATTGCAAACGATAAGCAACTGCTTCCACTGCAGAAACTGGAAAGGGTCCAAAATAACGAAACGATAACTTGTGACTTGCTTTGGTGGCCACATATGATTGCACATAAGGTTGCAATTTGAGATAGACCCACTCCCCTAGCTGGAATTCTCCGAAACTCCTTTTATGTCAGCAAGATGTTTCATGTGTTGTTGAGCCCGGTTCAAGTGATGTTGCAGCAATTGTTGCATCAATCCTCTTTGCTTCAGCCCGTGATTCAGAGCAGGCACAACACGGTCATTCATATTGATGCCAAAGTGGCTTGGGCTATACCCATAGAGAACTTTAAATGGTGTTTTACCCAGTGTGGAGTGGTAAGTGTTATTGTACCATAACTCTACTAAATACAATCAAGATGACCATTTAGTGGGTGTAGCATGAACAAAACATCTCAAATAAATTTTCAGGCATTAATTTACTCTTTCTGTTTGGCCATCTGTTTGAGGGTGATATGAAGAGCTCAAATGTAATTTTGTACCAAATCTAATGAAAAGTTGTTCCCAGAATTGGCTAGTGAATATTTTATCTCTATCGATATGATGATTTTAGGCAAGCCATGGAATTTGTAAACATGTTGCAGAAACTGAATGGCTACACTGCTAGCGGTAAAAGGATGGTCCAAGGGAATAAAATGTGCATAATTTGAAATTTTGTACACCACTACGAGGATATATTTATAATGGTTAGATTTTGGTAGTCCCTCTATGAAATCCAATGATATGGTCTGCCATTCACCTTCATGCACTGGTAAGGGTTGAAGTAATACCGGGTATTTAGCCTTGTCTTGTTTAGCCTATAGACAAATTTGACAAGTTTGTAATCTGCTCTGGATCATTTTTTTCATGCTAGACTAAGCAAACATTCCCTTAATTCTTCTGTAGGTGGTAGGAAACCCAGAGTGGCCACCTATAGGTGTGGCATGCAAAGCATCAATTACTTGTGCTGAAGTTCTGCATCTTGCCCCAACCAGATTTTGTTCTCGTATTTCAAAATGCCCTGCTACAGGGTAAAACCTAGTTTAGCTGAAGGATCAATGATCAAATCTACAGCCAGGTGTGTGGCATGAGCATCTTTTTCATAACTTTGCATGACTTCTTGCAACCACAGAGTTACACATTTTGATATGGACACTAACTCAGCTTTGTCATCATGCTCCTTCCTGGATAGTGTATCTGCTGTAGAGTTACTCACCCCCTTTCTATAGCATATGCGGTATTGTAGACCCATTAATTTAGTATAGGCCTTCTGTTGCCATGGCGTGTGTAATCTTTGTTCAGAGAGATGTTTCAGACTATGGTGGTCAGTCAAAATTAGGAACTCCCCATGTTGTAGGTAAGTCCTCTAGTGTTCTATAGCCAGCAAAATGGTCATGTACTCCTTTCCGTATGTGGATAACCCTCTTGATTTTGGACCTAAGGCTCTGCTAAGAAATGCCATAGGATGTGTTTCCTGTGACAGTACTGCCCCAATCCCTAGCTCACTGGCATCAGTTTCCACTGTGAACTGCTTACAAAAATCTGGCAAGGCCAATGCAGGGGCAGAAACTAGTGCTTGCTTCAAGTGTTGGAAAGTCTATTCAGTTTCTTTTGTCCATTTATAGGGTATGCCTTTCCTTAGTAATTCAGTCAAGGGTTGCTGATGACTCCAAATCCTCTAACAAATTTTCTATAGTATCCTGCCAATCCTAGAAATCCTCTCAACTTTTTCACAGAAGTAGGAATTGCCCAATTGACAACATCTTGTATCTTCTTTGGATCAGTTGATACTCCCTTAGGCCCAATTATATGTCCCAGATAGGCAACTTCCTGTTGTGCAAATGAGCACTTGCTTAGCCTAACCTTTCGGTTGTTATTTGCTAGCAATTGCAACACAATTCTCAAGTGAGTCAAATGTGCTGATAGACTGGGCTGTAGATTAGTATGTCATCAAAAAACACTAGAGCACTAAAAAATGTGGTTGGAGGACTCCAAAAGATATGACTTTGTATTCATAGTGCCCTGAATGTGTCTGAAAGGCTATTTTAGGTTCTTCTCCCTCTGCCATCCTTATTTGATGATGTCTTTCCCTTAAGTCTAATTTAGAGAACCGTTGGGATCCAGCCAACTCACCCAGCAACTCTTCAATAATGGGCACTGGGTACTTGCCTTTTATGGTGATTGCATTCAGTTGCCTATAGTCAATGCATAATCTCTATTTCAGCTACTTGTTTTTCAAACTCATTTTTAAGGGCTGGTTTATGCCTATAGGGTCTTAAATTCACTGGTTTGTCTCCTTCAATCAGGGGAATATGGTGATCACAAGCTCTTGGAGGAGGTAATCCAGCGTGGGTTCTTCGAACAGCTCCTGGAATTCCTGCACAATTGGTTGAACAGATTCTGAGATTTTAGGTTTAATTTACTCCTTAGCTGGTTACAATTGTATCACACATACAACACTGTTTTAGCCATTCCATTAAGCTGGTGAAGTGAGGTTGCTTCACACAAATCCAGTTTGGGTATTAAGCCTTGTAGCCTTATCAATTATTATTATTATTACTATTATAATTATTTTTGTGCCTGACATGTGGGTCCCACTAACACGTAGGTGTCATCGTGGTATGCCACATCAGCGTACGAAGTGGGTTAGAGCCCTTTTGGACCTACATAACACCCATGACATGTTCAGAGACCCGAAAATGCATTTTCATAGTTTAGAGACACCCGCACAAGTTTAAGGATCTTCAACATGGATGTACGACCCAAAAATTTCCTAGCCTAAGACCCTTGTAGGAAAATATAGTAAAAAAATAAAAAAAAACCCTTGTCATGTGAAGTGTGAAATCGAAGTGTGGTCATCTCGGTCCCGTATCGTGTTCGTTTTTTCGCTTCCTCGCCATATCGTGTTGTTATAGTAACAGTCATCATGCCAGATGACAATACGAGTCCGAGACAAAGGCAGCAAACTGGCAAGCAAGGACGCATCACGATGTCATAGCAGCAGTTACCACAACAGACAACAATTAGGAGTACGAGATAGGGACAACAAACTAGCACGGCAAGGGCGCATCGTGTTGTCATAGTAGTAGTCATCACGCTAGACGGCAACTAGGAATCCGAGATGGAGGCAGCAAACTAGCATGACAAGGATGAGAGGTTATCAAGCAGTCAAGCCGACATGCCAACAAGCTGGAAAGGGCAAATGCCGTGGCACGACGTCCGCGCCTCTCTAGCGGCCAGCGGATAGCAAGGTGGCAAGGGCGGCGCATGATGGTAAGTTGGAGCACCCAAATCTCAAATCCTAGATACATCACTGATCATCAGCATACATGACTCTTGTTTTTATAACGGTTTAGGAGTTGAAGTCCGGCGGTTCGAAATGGAAAATTGGAACGTCCATGACCACAACGTAGGTCATTGACAACATCAACATGCACGTATAGAGCAGGATGACCCGTATTCCCATGCGACTAGGTTGGGGTTGTTAGCCAAAATCAGCCAACACACTATAGCGATCACCTGAACCACAACAGAGGAGGACGAAGTAGCATAGGATAATAAAACGGTGCAAACCACATGTGCAGTGCAAACAAACCTGAAAACTACAGCGTGATCTTACAAATAGACGTATGATATTTATCCACATCATTATAAAAACTTTTATACTCTTAAATTTAAATGGGCTATTTAGGAAAGGAAAGAAGAAGAGAGAATAACTTATCAGTAAACCCGACTGGACACCAAACAGAGAGACAATATTACCCCTTGGAAATGGAGGAAAAAAGCATCAATACTGCGTACGTCAAGAAGATACTTGACCAACATTTACTTCTGTTGCCTCAAAATTATAAGTTCTCTCTTCTTGGTTGGAAATAAAACGAGCATTTTTTTCTAGCAGGACTACACCAGTGACAAATGCTACAAATTCGGGCATAGATTTGATGCATTTATCTTGGAGCATGTAAGAAACAACACTTCTCACTTTTGTTTATTTCTCTTCTCCACATAAGCTTATAGCCGGTTTATAGCCCACTACTATATATCCTTCCCCTTGATACTTTTTTTTGGCGGGGAACCTTCCACTTAATATTTAACACTACACAAATGCATTTTTTCTCCATTTTGCCCTTGTGGCTGCACAGAGAAGGATCTAGAACTATCTTGGGTGCCAAAAAGTTACACTAGTGCTAATCCAGTACTATCATAGTTACCAAGGAATACAATAGTATCATCTGGATCAATACTTTTCTCACAAGAGGTTTGTTAGTAGGGGTAATTTGAAGGTTGTTCTTGTTCACTTTGATGCCTAAATCAATCTTACCAAATGTTGGCATTGCTAATATTTGGTAATTAAGGTTGAGAAGTGTAAAAGTTGTTGTTTAGTTTGTTACCATTGTCAAGATGTTGTGAGAGGAAGATTCTAGAATTACCAAAATTTGGTAATGGAGGCAAGTTTTGGTAATGTTTAGATTTATACCTTGCCAATTTTTTGTAAAGCCAAAACTTGGTAACAAGGGCCTGTTCACTTTGATGTCATTTTCAACCTTACTAAATTTTGGTAAAGTTGCTAAAAAAGTTGCTACATTTAGTTTGCTGCCAAATTTTGGTAACTATATAAGAAATCATGCCAAAATTTTGGCAAATTTTGGCAGGTAAGGTTTTTTTTGGCATCAAAGTGAACAGGTTGCAAATCTCCTTGGTCTTTATCTTGTCAAAATTCGATTGCCTAAGTATGTGTGCATTGGTCAAAAGTGTCAAGTAAATGTAAACGGAGGGAGTATATACATTAAGCTATGTGAACAAAGGAATGTTGCCACTTCTGCATAAATTTTGCATATATTTACAAACAGATAGCTTGTCAATTTGAGATATATCACAAGTATTTGAATCACTGATGCAGCAGCACCTTCATGCTCTCTTTTAAGGCAAATCCTGTACTTAATCACATTTTTTTCTGCCGTTATTTGCTTGGACAACATTGTGATTGTTTTTGAAGATTATGTTTGTGTGGTGATTGGTGAAGAAAGAAAGGTTTGCATTTGATCTCACCCTTATTTCTTAAAAACTGGACATTAGGTCTCTGAAGCTGAAGCAGTGTTCTGATTCTTGAGCAGGGATTTTGGTATTCTTTACCAAAAGAGGAAAGGAGATTCTTCATTTTTGTTCTCAGTACTGATTCTTGAGGCGGGATTTTGGTATTCTTTACCAAAAGAGGAAAGTAGATTCTTCATTTTTGTTCTCAATACTGAATTACTGATTCTTGAAGCGGGATTTTGGTGTCCTTTGCCAAAAGAGGATAGGAGATTCTTCATTTTTGTTAAGCTGCCAATATGACGACTGAAGAGTAGAGCATTTACTTCTCTGGCTAAAAAAGTGAGGCCAACAATTTTGAATTGTATATTGTTGTAAGTTGTAACTGTTGTCACTGTCGTAAATGGTCTGTTCAGCGTTGTACGGACGTAACGTATATTTGTCAATTGTGTAGTCTGTCTACGATGCTGATACGATGATTACTTCGATGGTTCATCCATATGTTGAAGTGTTCATTCTTTTAAAGTTTCTTCGCTGAATGAAAGGGTCTTCGTCTATGCCATTCAATTATTAACAATTGCTATATATCATCAGTCATACTCTTGTCAAACCATAAGTTTAAACTTTAAAGTACGTCATTATAGTGAGAGTAAGATGGGGACAGGGGGAGTAGAATAATTGGAAATTTGGGAGAGGAAGGATTCGTGGGCAGCTGAATCCGATGGGCATTTGGTGTTAATCCAATTTCCGAGCAAACAAGCAGATAGTAAAACATAAAAGCACACAGCACCAGTCGAGATTGCGTAATAAGAACAGTCGAGATTATGGAGTGGTGTGTGATCATGTAGATACAAGACTGGACACAGTAATTACTTGGCAACGGCAAAACATATACTTAGTCTCTTTCCCTAACCATTCATTATACATGTAGAAGAACACTCTGCGTAATTCCATCAGATTTGCAAATGGCTATTCCAAAACAAAACAGCATAGTGTAAGTCTGTGACTAACTGGCAAAACCATTTTCCGGACATTTCGGCAGTTACTCTAGCTGCAGCACCTGGCTCCTCAAATCATGCATTCCTCAGGTATAGTGGTCCCTGGCTACAAGTCATCCTAGTATTCATTGTAGGAGAACAATCAAGGCCTGGATAACACACATGAACATAAAAAAAAATGCAGAGCTTATTCTGTGAAACCAGTTAATACAAACAAAACTAGTTATTTTGACTTCTTCTGATCAGGTGCTCTTGATCCTATAATGCTACAGATGGGTTGTTCCGGTGACTGAAGCAACCTCAGAGCTGGGTGAACTTTGAGATCACGCATCAACAGTTTCTGTCCGACATCCAACTCACTTAAATCCACCTCAATGTATGGTGGCACTATGTCAGCAGGGCACAGATACTTGACAGTTCGTTTTATGGTGTTGAAGTAAGCCCCTGTAGTTTCAAAGACAGTCACATTATAATGCTTTTAAACAGAACCTTGATGAAAAGAAAAGGCTCACGCATGAATAATGACTTGGAATAAAGTGCAGGAAGAAGAACTAAAATGGAATGCATCTGCAATGCAGGTCGACACTAACTGTGTGGCCAGAGTTTTCGGAATGGTTTCTTCACTTAGCATTTCATGATTTTCAAATCGTGTAATTTGACCCAGTCCAGGAGGAAATTAAAGTTTCCCCCAAACCCCCCTTCCAAAGGGATAGGAAAGGTACACTAAATAACACCAGACTGTTTAGTGTTGTTCAAGAGAAATGAGACATTTTCATTAGCACTATACAATACAGATGATTCCAACCAACTTAAATAGCAAATGTTTCATAATATTGTTCCATGTAATACATCAGATGCACAGAAGACATTATGCCAAGCTACCTTAGGTCTAAGCCTTTTATGTTGAAAAAACCAGGAGAACATTTTTGTTTGGCATCTAATATAAGTTTTAAGTAACACAGGCGCACCAAATGAAATGTGGAAGCATATGCTACATACCTTTCCTGAGACCAGGCGATGCATCCTCTCCGATGAACATCAAAGGAACATCTATCTTGAGTAGGGCTGAAGAAGGGGCTCTCATGAATGTCACATTCAGAGGCTCATCAGTTCCTGCATGTAAGTGTACCTGAAAATATGCATGTTCACATAAGTCTTCCCCCAAAAAATCACATATAACAGAGTGTGAGGAAGGATTCCTGAAAATCTATTACATTAATTGCTACAGGCCCACAATTGCACAACTTATTATAGCATTCACCTTTGCATAGAGATATTTTTGGAGATATACAGGCCAGTTTGCAACTGATATTGTAAGGTAGAAGGCAATGTATGATTTAATCTGATTTATTTCTTGCATTCTGAACTAGAAGAAGCCCATCATTTATACTTCATTGATCAAAGAACCATGTCTTCAAGTAGCAGTTAATATTGGTTACAACAGTAACAACACAGTACTGTTTATCTTATTATGAGGCCATCATTGACACTAGACAAATTGACAAAAAATATTTAGGGAACCAACACAGCCACACATTGTTCGTAAAAAACAGCAGCTAAGTAGAATATGTAAATGATGTCGCATTGCGCAGATTGATTGAAGAATATATGAGCAAACAAGCATTCCTATAGATTGATTGATGGGGCATACAAGTTCAAGACCCCACAGCCCCAAACTGCGCGGTATGATGCAAGTCTTTCACTTTTTTTTTTGTTGGGCATAACAGTCTCTGACGTATCAATTTAGCCAGACCAAAGGATACCGAAGTGGATTTTGGCCAACTTCAAAGGAAACGCATATTCGAGTTTCAGAGGTTGGTCTCAGAAAGCCATTTGTAGGAAGAAAGCTCATGTTACTTCCCTCAAGAGCTATCGAACCAGAAAGGGATGCTCCTAAAACAAGAAATTGACGAGATTTCCGTAAGACAAAGGCATTGAGCATCAGTCTTCATGCTGCTGCATCTAAGAGTTTTTGCGGTGCATACATTTTCAGTTCATTGAGCACTACATACTAGAGCGCATTTTTCATCTACACTAAATCATCTTCCAGTATTCTACAGACCAAATCAAAGTCATAGCCCAGGCTAAAGAAACATCACCACAGAACAATATTTGTATCTCGAGGAGAAAGAAGCAAGTTAGGCGTATCACCAAACCTTGCGGGGAAGGACGCGGACGCTCTCGATGAGCTCCCCCTGGCCGGCGTGCTCGGACCAGACCTGGAGGCGGAAGAGGCGGGAGAGGAAGAAGGAGCGGCCGAGGTGGTCGACGAGCTTGCGGATCTGCTTGGACTGCACGGACACCAGCCGCTTGTTGCCGCCCTCCTGCCCGTTCTCCTGCTCGAACACGATGGCCGGCACCCGCCCGGCCTTCCGCTCCTTGGCCGCCACGTGCCGCCCCGAGGAGGCGCGCGGCACGGCGAGGATGAGCTCGTCGTGCTTCGCGTCCGGCCGCGGGTGGCCCGGGAGGTAGTCGAACGGCGGCGACAGGAGGTCCGCGTCGTGGTGGTGGTGGTGGTCCGCGGTGACCGCCTCCGCGGCGGCGGAGGAGGAGGAGAGGTGGCGGCCGAGGAGGGGGAGGATGGGAAGGGTGTGGAGGGGTCGCCGGAGCAGCATGGCCATGGCGGCCGGCGGCGTGTGGGGTGTAGGGGTTTTTGGGGGGAGGAGGGAGGAATGGTGGGTGGGCTGGGTGGAGGAGAGTGGGGTGGAGTGTGTGGGGGAAGAGGAGGTGAGTGGGCCGTGGGCCTTCGAGGGTTTGGGTTTGGTGGGCTGAGATTGTTTGGGCCTAAGAATATTTCATGGGCCGGAAGTGAGAATGGGTCCAGTTCGGCCTAAAAAGTCATTTTTACGGAGAAAATTGAAATAAGTTCACTTTTGGTCCCTCATAATGAAATTCGTCACCAACCATAATAGCAGATATGACGCGTCCCTTAACTCCTAAAATCAATGCAAATAAGGTCAATCAATGCAAATAAGGTCCCAAGTCGGTTTGGATAGTGGTTTTGGCTGACGTGGCACCTATGTGACATTGACGCGGCACATATAGTGGGACCCACATGTCAGTGATAATATAATTAAAAATAAAAAAATTGTAGTGGGACCCACATCTCCCATTCCAATCTTCTCCTCCCCAACATGCTGCCGTTGATGCGAACCGCCGTCGGCGTTTTCGATGTCTACTAGCTCTGCCGCTTGCGGCCCCCGCTGTGGCCTCTCGCTAGCAAGCCACACACTCGCGCAAACAGCCTGTCTGCCCATGTTGACGCTTGACAACAGCCGATGAACATCGCCTTGGGCAGCACGAAGTACAACTTCTCCGCCCGAAGCAACTCAGCGTGGGCCAATGTCGGCGGGTGGTCGTCGAAGTAGTGCTAAAATGAGATGAAAAAAAACTGACGATGGTGCTAAAATCAGGAATAGGGTGAGCTTTTCGATGCTATTTAAGTGAACAAATAACATTTGGTGCTATAGAACCAGAAACAATTTTATCAATTATTTATGAATAAAACTTTTTTATATGTATTCTTAGTGGTTTAAAAACCAACTCTGGAAAATAGACCACGATTAGGAAAAAAACTAATATATTTTTTAAAAATTAAAATTTGGTTATCAACAAGTAGGCAATTAGAAAAGCCTGGCTGATATGAATTTGTGATAAATTTATACATAAAATATGGCTTATATATAATATGAATTCTCATGTAAAGTACATACACAAAAATGGTTTACATTATGGTTACCTTTCGAAAGCACTTATATCCATTTTTCATATAGAGTTAGCTAAAAAAACTAGATTCGAAAATACAATAATCATGCCAACCACAAGATGTCTCAAAAGTAAGTTAATCAAGCAAGAATGATATAAACCTCAAATTAGTTTAGCCAAATGCCAGGTACTCTTGCATACGTAGCTCCCGGAATCCAGGATCAATCAGGCTTCACCTTTGCAACCACTAATCATACTTATCAGCCGCTCAATCAGAGTGACAACGCCACATGGACCAACCACAAAATAGACCCCCTGGACCCACAATCCAGTGAGAGAGACACCACACACTCCCCACAATATAATTTCCTCCAGCGTCCTCTCTCCGTCCGGTTCCGTAATTCCTAATGTTTTGATAAGATTTGTGACAAATTTTTATAATTTTAACTAGCAATAATTTTAAAAATATGTAGTTTAAAGACACTAGTACAATATATATAGATTTGTCTTATAAAATAGTACTCCCTCCATTTTTATATTATAAGTCATTTGATACTTTTCTTAGTCAAACTTTTTTTTAACTCTGATCAAGTTTGTAAAAAAATATACTAATATTTTCAATGCAAAATAAACACATTATTAATTTGTCTTACAAAATAGTACTCCCTCCGTTTTCATATTATAAGTCGTGTGACACTTTTCTTAGTCAAACTTTTTTTAATTTTGATTAAGTTTGTAAAAAATACTAATATTTTCAATGTAAAATAAATATATTATTAAAATATATTCAATATTAGATTTAAATGTAACTATTTTAGTATTGTAGATGTTGCTAATTTTTTCTATAAACTTACTCAATCAAAAAAAATCTTGGACTGTGAAAAAAAATCAAACGACTTATAATATGGACCAGAGAGTATAACAAAAGTAAAATTTTATTTATTTATTTATTATATATGTTATAGTAAAAATATAGTGAAAGTTATATTTTGAAAACGTGTCTGAAACATTAAGAACTATGGGTCTGGAGAGAGTAATATTAATTTCCATGTCAGAGAAACCAAAAAAGAAAGAAGAAAAAAAGAGAGCATATTCCTGGGCTGGCTGCTCGTTCCAGCAGCGCAGCAGCAAGCAAACCTAACATCTCTTCCTCTCTCCTCTCCTCCCTGCGACCCGCGAACCACCCAACCCAACCCAACCCCACCGCAGCCGAAGCCGAAGCCGCGGGAGGGGAGGGAGATCCCGCCGCCCCCCCAACCACCACCGCCGGCCACCTCGGATCTCGGCTGCGTGCTGCGGCGGCGGAGGAGGCGGAGAAGGAAGGAGGAGAAGATGTTCTATGGGGCGATGGTGTGGGATCCGTGGCTGATCGTGTCGCAGATCGTGTGCCTGCAGTGCCTCTACTACCTCGCCCTGGGCCTCCTCATGGCGCTCCTCGTCGGCACCCGCGTCCCGCGCCTCACCCTCCTCTACCTCTTCGACTTCGCCACGCTCACCCCGCGCACCACCACCGGATGGTGCGTCATCGCCGCCTTCCTCCTCGCCGCCGCCGCCGGGTAACGCCGCCCACTCACCGCTCCTCCCCCCCCCCTGGTCTCGTGCTACTAGTACGGACCGAGATGGATTCTTTCTCGAAAAGGAATCGGATTCATGCGCTCGCTGCTAGTTGACTACAGGTTGTAAGAGTAATGCCAGCAATTAGCAAGTTGAACCGAGTGTATGCTCCCAGATCTGTGCGCTTAGGAGAGGTAGTATGTCAAATTTGGTGCCGTTAAATCGAGAAAACTTGCTAGGAATTCCCCCATTTTTCCTAGGTATATCTGCTTGGTACCTGCTGAAATTTTACACCCAAATCTTCCATTTAATATGAGGGCCAACAAGGTAGTATAATTTTTACTAGTCAACGTGTACAATATGAGCACGAGGGTAAAATGTTTCTCGGCATAGTACTATTTGTTATGAATGTGATTGTATGTATGGGAGCTAGCATATGAATAGGTGCTCAGTTGATATTAAAGTAGCATATTCTTCACATTTTCATAAATTGGCTAAATCTTTCTAGTTTATTTCAGTTTGATTTGGTACTCTCTTCAGTTTCATTCTCCAAATCACCCTAGGACAGCTTATAACAGAGAACGGGAACTATACCTCCACTTTCTAATTCTACCAGCATTCATTACAGATCGCAGAATTTACTACCCACATATTACGCACTATTACACATTTGGTGATTACTGCAATCTAAGAGGCCCTGTGGAAAACAACTCCCTTTTGCCTAATTTCTTCATGCATTTTAACAGGTTATCAACAACCAACTTAAATTAATCTTGCAAACTATATCTATCATGGATAATTGCAGAAATCAAAAATATACTTTTAATTATCAAGGATAAGCCTGTTCTTGACCTTTGGTGTAACTTTGTTTTCATCAAAATATGGTTGAATGCTAACCTTTTCATGCTTTCGCTTTTGCAGTGCTGCTTTCATGCTTTATGTGATTGAGAGAGCTAAGAAGTGCCTGGACTTTGCAGCCACCCTCTACATCATTCATCTGTTTATTTGCATTGTTTATGGTGGATGGCCAGCTTCAGTTACATGGTGGGTTGTTAATATTGCTGGTTTGGCGATTATGTCTCTTCTTGGTGAATACCTATGTATAAGGCGGGAATTAAAAGAAATTCCAATATCACGGCTTCGTGCAAGTAAGCAATTATCTCCTACTGGATCTGGCTTGGATTCATGCTTTTCCTCTATATAATTATTGTCTTCATATATGTATAAAAGGTCCTGTATGATTTATTTGCTTACCCTTTAGCCTTTTGTACTGAAGTCTGCATATTGCTTACACAATAGTCATGTACTAGCTAGAATATTAGATTAATTCGCCAATGAACTAAGGAGCAGTAGCATGATAGTATGGTACAATAATTCTTCCCAATGATTTTAATTTTCTATTACTTATTTTTTCTGCTTGCCACCTATCTGTGTCATCGTCCCTGTAACTAAGACCTTGTTCCATCACAAATGCCCACATTTTGGAAAAAAAATATATTCAGGTGTATTTATGCTGTTGACTGATTGGGACTATAGGAAAGGGAGAGTACAAAAGTTCAACTAGTGATGTAAAGAGTGTGGGTGGCAATGCTTTTCTATTTAGCTTTCCTTGGTACGTCACAGACAGATTATTTGTAGGGTGTACCTCAACTCATATGTTCCATGTAGCTAAATGTTGTAAACCCAATGCCAAAGAAAAGAAGATGAAGAAACTAACATTATTATGCAAGTGCAAGCATCTCACAAACTCACAGTTGTGTAGTTGCAAAAAATTAGTCACTTCTCACCTGATATAGACCATAAAGTATGTAAGCTCAGCGTGGAGCAGAGATATTCGTCAGGGACTTAATATTCTTTTCAATATGGAAGAATGCTTTCTGAAAATCTGTACCAAGCTTTTGTTCAGTCACTGTTTGTGGTCATCTTGCTAGTCCAGTTATGGTGTTTAAAGTTTTTAATATGTGAAATCAAGTATAGCAGGGTTAAGGTGCTTAATTATTAGACTGCTTCTTTTCTCTTCCATCATATTGTGCCTGTTGTCTTTTTTATAAAGCACAGTGACAAGTTTAGCTAGCATCATATGGGATTCCCTTGGAATTTCTGAAGTTTGAAGTTCCCATCATGTCGTGCTGATCTTAGTTACAGCGTTCACAGTTGTCCTTTTCTAACATTTCTTAGTAAGGTGCATATTGCCTTTCTGACATGGATTAGTCTCATGTCAATAAGGCTCAATAGTGTTTGGTTAATGAAAAGCCTAATATATTATTCTAACTTGGGCAGTTGGGCTAGGCCCTCCATGCACAGATAACTTCTGAAATTGTTTCCGGTGAGGAGCGGACTCAGATTAGGCCTGCAATTAGTATTACATTGATTAACTGGCCCCAAATATTCTACTTGGATTTTGGTTTAAAAGGCTTCTGGGTCAAGAACCATTGGGCACAATTACAGGGATGCACTGCTGACTCCTGGCTTGGGATTTTATGAACTTGAAATTGTGAAATAGTATGGGAACATGTGCCCTTAGAAGCGTACAAAATAAACTTTGATAGTTTACCTGGTCAAGTGCTTAATTGCTTTTATGCCGATTTCAGAGTGGCTTCAAAATCCTCAGTAAAAAGTTTTAGCGTGTTGTTTGTTACTGTATGTTACAAACACTATCTATAAATAAGATGCCTTCACCTTTTAGATGCCGGGCCAATAATAACTAAATCAAACTGTTGTAGTGAAATTATGTACTTTCAGTTGATGTGGTTGGTTGTTTCTTTTTTTTCCTTTTGTGGTATTTGGGATTGGCTGTACTACATGAACATTGCTACTTTTCTCCTTCCAAGTCACCTTCTATTGGGGATAATCTTCTCCAGTCACTTTCAACTTATTAGCCTGCTTAATTATTTTGTCCTGTCTTTCAGGTGTTTAATCTTACAGACTAAAGGAGTATAGATGGCCTTCAAATGTTGTTACCCCCCAAGAGATGCTTGTTAATATGTTTCTTTAGGAATACAAAGACTCGTGATACATGCTTTCCTCTATGGTTTACGACCAATACTCTTCAAACCTGCAAATTGATGCATGATCTCCCAGTAAAGCCACCAGGTAGAGACTGACAGAACAAATCAAGGGTTCTGAGACCAAGCATAGAATGCCAACTCAATTTTTAAAGCATGTATCAACTATTCAAGTCTTCTCTTCTCTATGGATAGTCTCATTGAATTGACGAAAAAAGAGATTACTTGACAATTTGTATGGCTAGATACCAGCACCTTGAAACCTGTGTTCTTTAGCGAGGGTCTGTATCGCACCATTCGATTCTTCTTTAGCTTTATCCTGCAGATAATATATCCAGTTTCCAGTGCTTCCTCTTAAGCTCATTCCAGCAGAGTTCAGTTTGGCGGCCAATCACATGACTACTCGAACCTCCAAATCATGCTGTCCTTCTGAACATGTATGTCAATATATGTGCCCTGTGTGTATTGCGTCAGAGGTGTTGACATGAGTTGGTTAAAAATACATGCTTGATACGAAATTGTAATTTCCATCGCAGGTGAACTCGGGCAAAAATTTTAAAATCCCTTGTGGGTTCGCACTTTTTTTTTCCTCTAGTGCTGTGATACTTGCAGTAGTTTGTTTTATCCTTGCTAAGTATTGTGATATTGTCAGTACTACAGAAGCGCCTGTAATCTCAGGTGTCAAAACCCAAAATCACTTCTTTCTCTTCTCTTCACTAAGGTTAAATATGCATTGACATTTTCTTTTGTGGTAGTTTTATCAATGTGCATTGGTTTTTATATTATGGTGTAGATGTCAACTTGGTTGTCATGCCCAGCATTTCTGGTACTCTTATACCTCGGTATCTAGTTACCCAGATTTCAGTTCTCCTCACTAAAATTCACTGAACATCGCCGAGAATTGACAATTTTCAGGAACGACACCAACCAGTGGATTCTGCCAGGTCCAGGACCTGAACGGCCGTTTTGCTTGTAAAGTGCAAAAGTTAAAGTGTAGGTTACTGTTTTTTTTCCCTGTTCCAGTTCGCATTAACCAACAGAATTCTCTGAATCCCAAAGGGCCTACCGCTTTTTTTTTTTTCTGAATAGGTAAATGATTTTGTGATATTATTCAACGAATAAATTAATTATTATAAAGTTGAAGAATATAATTAAATATCTTTTAACAGAATAATATATAGAAAGCTTTTTTTTTTTTGCGATTAGGTTTGTCGTCTGAGCGAGAGGCCGAGGCTTCAACATACTGGATGCCTGGGTATATATGACACCTGCTTACTGCACACAGCAATTGCAATCCCCGCTGAAGTTGACCTAGTTATGCCACTACTAATTTCTAATCCTTAATTATGCCCAGTGTCCTGTTTCATTTCTGTTCCATAATCAGGTAGTTGGTTGCATAACAAGATAATCTACTGTAGCTTTGGTATGCTTTGAGCTGCCACTAGTATTTTCCATCCTGATCTGATCTGATCAGATGTCAAAGCTCTACAATCTCACGTTTTTCTCACCTAAATTAATTAAGCTCGCGTTGACATCACCTCTAGATCTCTTTCCTGTGCGTTTCTATAAACTGTATTTTGCTGGCTCGCCGGTCAACTGGTTGTTAATTAAAACTCCAGGTTTCGGCGTTCCAGGTGCCTCAGTTTTCAGGGCGCGATTTCGCCGGAGGATGGCCGGCCGCCGGAATAGTCAATATTCTCATATAGCCAAATGCCCAAAGTTTGACGAGTTAAAATGGAGGATCTCTCCTATCCTGAATTCCTAATGCAAAGATAGCCATCTCTCCCGCATATTCCTACACTCTAACGCAACCTCATTTGTAATATTTATTTTTTGAAAAATACAAGAGGTTAAAATATAAGAATGAATAGTTTCGTTGTCATTTGAAAACGGGAATATTTTTTATAGTATAAACTAAGAGGTTGGCCACCATCATCTCCGAGGCACAAAATGAGCTTGGCTCAACTAATCAGATTTCTTCTATTTTCCCTACTGTTTTGATAGAGGTTATCACTATCCGATGGTATCACGGTTTACATAGTGACCAAACCGGTTACCGATGGAAACCGTAGAGTTCTAAAAACTAAGATCATATGGTAATCATGCGGTTTTATAAATCTAGTGGTGAACCTATCCACATGGGTGCTCGTATCATATCTATGGCTAATTATGTTTTCAAGTCACGTCGAGTTATGATTTAGATTTTATTTTTTAGAAACACAATACAAACGCAGACGCTCACAACACACACTCACCCTTATAAATGAATATGCACACACCCTATCTCTATTAGAACCTCTGAAAGACTGTGCCGATATATTTAATGAATTTACAATGGGCGCATTGCTACAGATAGGTACATCCTCTATCACGGAAAAATTAATTAGCTGTAAATGTGAGCATCTGTTTTAACCACAGAGAATCTTACTAGTTGAGTTATGCTCACTTCGCTAGTTTTCTTTTTCTCACAAGGAAGAGTTTAGAGGTGGTTAGAATTGGTTTTCTGCTAGGAGATCAAGGCCGGCCCATGTTCGGCATTACGCCAGCACGGGCGCATGGGCCGCATCTGGAATTCGGAGTTATCTTAACCGGATGTTGGCTTTAGCTACATTTCTTCTTTACAATAATAATCATTTGAACAGATCAAGGCCACCCTGAAGGCGGAAGCAGAGGCGTTTCAATTTTTTCTTCGTGATACAATAATGAGTGGCACAGCAAAAGGCAAAGCCAGCTAGTCACATTCTGAAAACCTTCATACATATACAAATCTGGTTTTCACGTGTGAAAAATAAAGCAGGCATCACTCATTTCCATCTATGAATATTTTATATGTTTTCTCAAAAAAAGTGTTTGTTCATTGTTAATTTAGTTTACGTTCATATCGGAACAATTCACGGTCCCGGAAAAAAGTGACAGATAACAGTTCACATTCAGCGTTTATAGAGAGGAAAAAAAAGAGTGATAAGCATAGTTCAATTGATTAGGTTTCTTATATTAGAATTAGCCCATCCGGGTTCAAGTTCTACAGCCTGTTTAGGAGAGTTTAAGATTTTGATAAGCCGCTAGTTGGTAACCAAAATTTGAAATTCTAAAAAAGTTGAGTTCTCTATTTCTAGTTTATTTTCTAAAATTCTACGGGCCAATTTGGTAAAGCTCCAACTCATAAATTTAACTCTAAGAGTTGGGTTTGGAATAGAGTTGTGCAGTAGTCTAAACCCAGCTCTATCTCTTTATTACATTTTGTGAGAGTGCTTCGACCGGCTCAATTCCCGTTTTAGGTGGAGCTGAAACTGTTTAGATGGACTCTAGCTCCTCCTAAAGCTAGAGCCATGCCAAAACATACGCCACAACTACAGCTTCTTAATATCTGGATGAAAAACTGAATTGTTTATGGGAGTTTCTAATTTTGGGAGAAGATGCAGCTGACAGAAGCTCTCCCAAACAGACTTGACACGGATGCTCGCATTTGTAGCTCATTATTCTTTTAGTATTAGGTAACGTGTAACCATTGACAGCAAGACGTCCATGGTCCATCTTTCAAATATACTTATAGAGGTAAATGTGCCATAAGCATCTGCATTTGTAATGTATTTCGAAAACTGAGATTGCGTTTATACAACGAATCACTAGACTATATGTTTCAATAATTCGATGAATAAAGTGAAAATAACAAGGCCTTAGACGCAGCGGCTGTGGTTACCAGTCACACATTACCTTAAGAAAAATGATTTTAACATGTGGGATAAGCAAAGGGAATGATTTTCTTTTTCTAAAAACTAACAATCCCAAAGGAGGAAGGAAAGAAACAAAAAAAAAAAAAGAGCACTGACTTTCGTGTAACCAAACGGCCCAATGCAAATCCATCCCCGAATGCTCATCAACAACGAGTGTGCAAGCATCCGGACCGAAATACGCACGCATTACACGGATGCAACCCAAACCCAACACGGCAAGTCGCGGCCCACCGTATTCTCTATCTCTCTACGCGTATATATGCATACGCGCCCCTCCCATCCTCTACACGTACGGTTACACAAATCCATTTCCCAAAAGAATTCAAAATTTAAAACGTACATACCACGCAGCAGCTAGCGCGCGCGCTATAGCTTTTCCCTCCAACACACAAGTACGTATCTCCCATGGCGGCGGTGACGCCGGACGAGCACGAGCGGCAGCAGGACGGCCACTGCAGGGCCAGGGTGAACCTGCGGCCGGCGGCGGCGCGGCCGTTCGGCGCGGCGGCGCGGGCGGCGCTGAAGGACACGCTCTTCCCCGACGACCCGTTCCGCGGGCTCGGCGGGATGCCGCCGGCGCGGCGCGCGTGGCGGGTGGCGAGGTACTTCGTGCCGGCGCTGGACTGGGGCGCGGGGTACTCCGCGGCGAGCTTCTGGTACGACCTCCTCGCCGGCGTCACCATCGCCAGCCTCTCCATCCCGCAGGGCATCAGCTACGCCACCCTCGCCGGCATCCCGCCGGTCATCGGCCTCTGTAAGATCAGATCACGAACGAGGAATTCCTCAGAGGTGTTCGTCCGCGACAGAATTCGATCTGTTTGTTGATTGATTGGTTGCGTTGCGTGCACAGATTCGTGCTTCGTGCCGCCGCTGGTGTACGCGGTGATGGGGAGCTCGAGGAACCTCGGGGTGGGGCCGGTGGCGACGTCGTCGCTGCTGGTGGCGTCCATCGTCGGCGGCAAGGTGAGGGCGTCCGACGACCAGCGGCTGTACACGCAGCTCGTCTTCACGTCGGCCTTCTTCACCGGCGTCCTGCAGGCGGCGCTCGGGCTCCTCAGGCTGGGGATCCTGGTGGATTTCATGTCGCGGCCGGCGATCACCGGGTTCATGGGCGGCACGGCGATCGTAATCATGCTGCAGCAGCTCAAGGGCTTCCTCGGCATGACGCACTTCACCACCAAGACCGACATCGTCTCCGTCCTCCGCTACATCTTCCACAACACGCACCAGGTGCACACGTATATACTTCGTGTTATTAATTACAACAAGCTAAGTCTATGCACTCACGTTATTTTTAGCTATGTATATACACTGTAGATATAGACGTTGAATTTCTATCTATTATTAAAAAATAGCTTGCGGGATTTGACATATTATAATACTATGAATTAGCGTCACGTCCAGCGTTTGCATTTTTTATTTCGCCTAAAATTTTTGTGTGATTTTTGACACTTTTAAATTTATTGAAATTTTAACTGGATTTGAATAAAGTTTGACCAAATTCAACAAACATTTGATAAAATCCAAAAATTTTGGTCGATATATTGATTTGCCGGTGGGGTCCAAAATTTCGAAACGAAATTGCATTTGACCAAATTCAACAAACATTTGATAAAATCCAAAAATTTTGGTCGATATATTGATTTGCCGATGGGGTCCAAAATTTCGAAACGAAATTGCAATCACTGGTCACGTCCGATACTGGTTTTGTTTTTAATGTGACGGAGGGAATAAATTATAACTCTAGTGCATTTGTAATTGCAGTGGCAGTGGCAGAGCACGGTTCTTGGCGTCTGCTTCCTCATCTTCCTCGTCTTCACCGAGCAAGTGGTGAGACATGCTGCCATTCTTGAAACTTTAACCTTTTTCCACCTGATGTACGATTGAATACCAATTGATTGGAGGAACAATTCCTTTGCAGAGGCGACGGCGGCCGAAGCTGTTCTGGGTGTCAGCGATGTCTCCTCTGTTAGTGGTCGTCGTAGGATGCGTCTTCTCGTTTCTGATCAAAGGCCACAAGCATGGCATCCCTATAGTAAGTTCTAGCTGTTGCGTAATTAAGCTAGTTTGTAAGAAAATTTATCACCTCAAAACTCGTATGTTTAATCTGTAACTTTTGTTCAGGTTGGTACTCTGAAGCGTGGCATCAACCCGAGCTCGATATCACAGCTCAAGTTCCAGCCGGAGTACGTCGGCGTCGCCATGAAGGCCGGGTTCGTGTCAGGGATGCTCGCCTTAGCGGTGCGCACGCATGCAACAACTCCTTGATTAATTTTTTTGGTTTTCTTTCTGAATTTGTTTGGCGATCGACATGGCTGATCTTTGATGATCTTGGCATGCAGGAAGGCGTCGCCGTCGGCAGGAGCTTCGCGGCGATGAAGAAAGAGCGCATCGACGGCAACAAGGAGATGGTCGCCTTCGGCCTCATGAACCTCATCGGCTCCTTCACCTCCTGCTACATCACCACCGGTAATTAACCCACTCATCCATGGCTCCTCCTGCGTTCGTCGTCGCCAGCTTAGCTCACGGCGGCGCCGCGTGTGTGTTGCGGTGTGCAGGTGCGTTCTCGAAGACGGCGGTGAACTACCACGCCGGGTGCCGGACGGCGATGTCGAACGCGGTGATGTCGGTGTGCATGGCGCTGGTGCTGGTCGCGCTGGCGCCGCTGTTCCGGCACACGCCGCTGGTGGCGCTGGCGGCCATCATCACCAGCTCCATGCTCGGGCTGGTCAAGCACCGCGAGATCCGGCGCCTGTACGAGGTGGACAAGGCCGACTTCGCCGTCTGCGCCGCCGCGCTCCTCGGCGTCGTCTTCTCCACCATGATCACCGGCCTCGGCGTCGCCGTGGCCATCTCCGTGCTCAGGGCGCTCCTGCACGTGGCGCGCCCGTCGACGAGCAAGCTCGGCCGCGTGTCCTGCGGCTCCGGTGCCGGCGCCGCCGACGACGACCACGCCTTCTGCGACGTCGCGCAGTACCCCGGCGCGGCGACCGCGCCCAGCATTCTCGTCCTCCAGGTCGCCGGCTCGCCGGTCTGCTTCGCCAACGCCGAGTACCTCCGGGAGAGGATCGCGCGGTGGGTGGAGGACGAGGAGAAGGCCGTCGCCGGCGAGGACCTGCTCTACGTCGTCCTCGACATCGGCGGCGTGACGGCGATCGACAGCCCCGGGATCGAGATGCTGCGGGAGGTGCACGGCGAGCTGGAGAGGAAGGGGATGAAGATGGCGGTGACGAACCCGAGGATGGCGGTGGCGGAGAAGCTGGTGCTGTCCGGGCTCGCGGAGCTCGTCGGCGAGAGCTGGATGTTCCTCTCCAATGGCGACGCCTTGGCCGCGTGCCGGTACACGCTCCAGGGCTCCAAGCACGGCGGCGTCCCTCCGGTGTAGATCTCGACTCTCGAGGCCGCTGGATCGGTACGCGCGTCAGTATATGTACAGCACACATGCGTATGTGCGCTGTACTGTACGTATTACTAACACATTGTGATTTGAAAAGTACTTGTATAAGTTTTCATAAATATTACGGAACGATAATAGCGTATCATGATCATATAACTATAATTAGGAAGGTGGCCCACGCACATGCGCGGACACTTATATTATTATATTATTGAAAGGTAAGTTTATTGTTTGTTAAAAAATTTTGCCTAATAAATTAAGGGCAAACTAACGTTCGGATAATGTTATTTTATAATAATTTAAGGGTTCTATTTTTCTTAAAGTATTTAAAAAAATCATTCATAAACTTTCGAGTAGGAGATGGATTGAGTAATTACGACTTTTGAATCATGGTTCATTTTCTCGAGTAAATAATAAACTATTGCTAGTTAATTATTATACAGTTCATCTATATACATATCGTGTAGTACGGCCACAAATGAAAAATGCTAGAGCGAACTACTTAAAATTTTTGTGATTAAATTGTCTCATGAAGGCCATAATATAGTAAAAAGGGAGAAAAACGTATGCATGGAAAAAAAAAGAAGAAAGGGGAAAAAGACAAAAGCGTAACATGTACGTTGGTGCATACCTATGCCGCGGGAGGAGAGGTGGGACTATGAAGGTGGAGAGTTTGTGAAGGTGGAGAGTTCGGACCTCGTAGTATTTAGTTTGTTCTAAGATCAATTTAATCTAACGATTTATAATATTAGACCTACCGATTTAAGTGAAAATTAAGTAATATATACTTTGCTTTTTTTCTCTCTCTTAGAATATATGATATTTTCTCTAATTTATTAGAGTGCCATGTGGTAGCTTGAGAGTATTTTAAGGAATTTTAATGGACTTAACACATGTAATTCATAAATTAACCGTGTAATATATATGTATGGGACATACGGTAATATTCGTTTTAGATTTGTACATGTTTGTTTATATATATGTAGAGAGAAATTAATTATGTTCCTAACAAGCCATTAGATGTCTAATTAATAGCAATTAATTGTAACAACTATTTACAATTGTTCATAGTAGCTCTTACATATTCATCCTATGACTTTGATTATCCATTGATCACCATGACTCGCACGAAAAAAGAATGTACTACTTAGGGGTTTAGGATAGCTGAAATTGATGAATTATTTGATATATGTGATATCTATTTGAGGATATAAACGAATAAATTGACTTCTAAAAAGTTAAAAAGTTGTTTAAAAAACATCATTTAGAAATTTCAAAACATGGAATCAGAAAAAAAAGAGCCTTAAACTTCATTCTAGCACCCTTGTCTTAGTAAGAGTTCTATTGATATTCGTTAATACTATGCTCATATTTATAACATAATGATTTCATTCACCTGTACGAACAAATAATACAGAATCCAAATACAACATAAAACAATATATTATAATTATTATGGAATCAACTGTCGGTTTCAGCTTAAACAGAGCTATGTGTTGGAAACAACACAACCCATGGTGCTTAATTCTTCTCTCACTGCATCACACCTTTAATTTTTCTTTTCATGTTATTAACAAAATTAATCATCTCCATATATAATTTATATGTGGCAAAACGGTAGCGCTGCAGCGGTCGTGATCACCTTAGATGCCTCAGACATGACGCTTTGTCACACGTACGAAAGGTAAAGGTGTAGACGTGCATTGTGCAAAGGGCCAAAAAGAAAACTTCAGACACTTTAATTATTAGCAAACAATAGATCCGAAGATTTAAATAATCGGTACATGGGTGACGGAGCGTGGAGCTCCTCACCGGGAGACCGCGCAGGCCCCCCTTTGCCGGTTCGGCCGGGGGCGCTAAGTGAGGTTCTTCGCCCTCGATCGATCTGGAGAATGTTCGCGAGAGAGCAAGTGCACGAGACACGGGCGATGTCGACAGGTTCGGGCCGCTGAGAAGCGTAATACCCTACTCCTGTGTTCTGGTGGATCTGTGTGTGAAGGAGTTACAGAGAGCCGGAGAGCCAGAGAGTTCAGGCTCCAGAACCCCTCTAGCGTCCTTTTTCTCCTTTCTTTTCTCCTTTTTGGTGGGCAAGGTCCTACTTTTATATCTCAAGGGGATACCACATGCACCACTTCTACCTACTTTTCTTTTGGGTGGGGACCTACCCTATCTTGACCAAAACTTGGCTTGCACCTTCGCCTGGAAGCTAAATCACAACTTGTCCTTGAGTGAGGCTCAGCGCCGTCACTCGCCTGACACCGGGGATCTCCCTGTTACTCCCTCATTAATGGGCGGAGATTTGCCATGGCTGCTTTCCAAATGACCATCCGACGAGATGGGTCATACCTACCTCCACTCCACCGGAGGCAGATGCATCGTGGGAGCACGGTTGTCTGCCGATGACGCGACCGGCGTCAGACCAGTCACAGACCGGTCATTCTTGTCCACCACGTGTCAGTTTAGCATGCTACACGTCTGCCCTTCTTCATACAATGACTTCCTTGCAATGGTTGCGATGAAGCCTGGAATGTATCTGGCCGGGGCTGACGTGCCAACTCCAGGAGTTCCCACGCCGGCTCCGGCTAGGGACGAGTGCCTGGAGGCTCTCATCATTCCGACGGGACGGGGCGAGGCGTGTGTCAGGCCGCCTGTTGCCACCTAACCCGCGATCTGGCCGGTCTGTGACCGGTCACACACTGTGACCTGTCACGGACCGAACGAGTGTGCTGTGCTGCATTAAATGCGGCGTGGGGCGCTCGTCCAACCCGCAATAAACGCGGTTAGGTGAGCGCCGCTGTGCTCACCTAACCCACACACGTGGCGCCAAACCCACAGGGGTCGGGGCGCCCCAGCCCTCGGGGCCGAAACGGGAGCGGCCCGACCCCTCGGGGAGACAGAGGGAGGGGCGGCCACATCACCCTCGGGCCCGACCCCTCCGAGGGGGTCAGGCCACGTGGGTGACTGCAGCTGCCCCAAACCTCTAGTCAAGATACCCCCGGTCCCATGTCACCGACAGTAGCCCCCGGCGTTACGCCAGGGCGATCGCCCCCCTCGAGGGAAGCGCTCGGGCGTGACGCCACTCCTTAGACCTGGTGACAGGTGGGGCCGGTCTCCACAGGCGGCAGAAACCCAGCGGTCGCAAATCGCGCACATCGGCAAGGAAAAACCGACCGACAATAATGAGCGGCTTCCTTCAAGACCGCTACATTACTTAAGTAGCGCGCGAACCGGGACGAGCCGGTTCGTTTCGCCTGGAGATGTGATGACGGTGCATCGGTCGGCGAGCGTAGTTAACGCGTGCACGATATGTCCCATCTCGACTGCCACGGCCGCACATCCGCCTCGTGCGCCGCAAACGGGCGAGCGGGATTAGTGGAGGTGGGCGCGAGAGACGAGGGGGTGAGGTAGTGGGCGCGGGGATCGAGGAGCCGGGCATAGCGTTGGCAAGGGTACTAAGACATCAAGGAAGGGATTTGTTTCCTTCCTCTCGTCACTCTTCCCTTTGCCTTTGCCACTTGTGCTCTGACTCTCCGTTTCCGGCGCCCTACCCTTGCCATACTCGCTCGCTCTCAAGCTCCTCCTCCGCCGGCGTCATGGCACGGGGCTCCGCACCGCTCGAGGGTAGCGTGCTGCCGCCTTCCCGCATCGTGAGCGAGAGGCAGGCCGGGCTGCCGTGCCGATTCATGCCGGAATCTGCCACCGGCCGGGAGGTGGTCGCGCTGGGCGAGGGACGCCCGGCGCCGCATTACCCGGGGTGGTCCGTCTTCTTCCTCTCTTTCGCAATGGCAGGGCTGGTCCCGCCATTCTCTTCTTTCTTCATGGATGTTCTGGAGCTTTATGATATCCAGATGGCGCACCTCACCCCCAACGCGGTAATGACGTTGGCCATCTTCGCGCACCTATGCGAGATGTTCATCGGGGTGCGCCCATCTCTCCGGCTGTTCCGGTGGTTCTTCACCGTACAGCCGGTGTCGCCACCGTCGGTAGTCGGTGGCTGCTACTTCCAGCCGCGGGGGCCGGTGCTGAACCGCTACATTCCCTGCGTCCTTCGCAAGAAGTGGGACGACTGGAAGAGCGACTGGTTCTACACCCCTCTCGCCGACGAAGCGCGCCTCCGACTTCCGAGCCAGCCCCCGGCGCAGGCCTCCAGCTGGCGGGCGCCGGTAGATCTGGGAGACGGCTACGACGCCGTTCTTGACCGCCTGGCGGGTTTGCGATCCCAGGGGCTCACGGGGGCCATGGTGTTCGGCGACTACCTTCGTCGCCGGATCGCGCCACTCCAGCGGCGCGCCCGGGGCGCCTGGGAGTACACCGGGTCCGAGGACTACATGAGGACCCACCAGGGGGGCAGATGGGACTGGGCCCCTGAGGACTTCAAGATGGTGGTCCAACGGGTGCTGAATCTCAGCTCCGTGGAGGCATCCCTCATCCCCCAAGGTGTCCTCCCCCTCTGCAGCGATCCAGAGCGCGCCAACATCCTGACCATCATGCAGGCGGTCGGGGCGTCAGGGGAGCGGGCTCCTCGAGGCCACGATGGCGCGGGCGGGAGCCGCAGGGGGGAACAATCTACCCCGGGAGGGGGTCGTGCTTCTGGGCCGCGTGACGGGGGCCCGGGGGGCAGCCGCCCTGCCGACGCCCGGGGGAAGAGGAAACAGGAGGATACCCCCTCCCCATCTCCTCCCCGAGGGGGCGGGGCGGTGCGTGCCAGCAGCAGGCGCCCGGAGGGTGCTGTGCCGACGTCGCAGCCCGAGGGGGAGCGAAAAAAGAAGCGGCTCCGCAAGATGGGGGGGACCGAACGATGCTGGGGAAACCTTATCTCCCCCCCAAGGTGGTCGTTTAGTCGACCTCCTCGCAGGTTCGTCCCCGCGCCCACTGCGGCCGTATTCATTCTCCCAAGGCGAGTTTTCACTTACCCGTTTCTTTTTGTCTTCTGGTTTTTCTTCCGCTTTCAGCGAGATTCCGTCGCGCCCCCCTCGCCATTCCAAGTCCGGCCGGTCTGAGGCCGAGGAGACAGCGACCGCGGAGGCCCGGAGGCGGGAAGCTGTCCGGCGAGAAGCCACGGACCGCCTCCGGGAAGCTGAGGAGGCTGCCCAGGAAGCCGTCCGGGTTCGCCAGGCTGAGGAGGCCGCTCGGGAGGAGGCCAGACTCCGCCGGGCCGGGAAGTCAGCCCGGGAGGCAGAGGCGACGCGCGCACGCCAGGCGGCCTGCCAAGCCCCCGACCCGACTCCGCCCGAGGCGACGACGACTTCCGAGGCCACCCACGACGAGGCCGCGGGCGCGCC